CCCGGATTACGAAAAGCCATTCGAGAAAGTGTATGAGGAGGTTACTGTGTCGTTCATACAACGGTCACGAAGGTTGGCTGTCTTCAGCCAGATTTCACCTGCTAACGGTGCTGTGGCATCCGTAATAGCAACTGATCTTCCTTCCTGGGTACCTCAATGGAACGTTCATTATGGATCAGACCAAACTGCCGCTCTTATGGCACGTTGCAATAACCTAGTATTTTACTCGTCGACCTCGGCTAGTACCGCTTCCATTGTGCTTCTATCACCCGGTGAGCTCCAGCTTCGCGGGAAAGTCTTTGGCACATTTTCTCAACTTAGCTTGCTCCCGAATGAAGCGACTGAAAACTGGCATTGGGTAGACTCTCTGGCTTCTTGGCATCAAGGCCTATGTACATCAGGTTTAATGAGTCAAGAGTACCCCGCGGAGTGTTCGAGGACGTATTGGGATGCTTTTTGGCAAACACTATGTGCTTCGCTCATGGTTAGACAGACGGGTCGCACTTCTGATGATTCTGTTCATAGATTCTGGTATGAAGACTTTTGGGCTCTATATTTTCCAAATCTTGTGGAGTGTCACAATGAGGGCCTCCCAGAAGACAATCCAGAAGTGCAAGTTTCAGGCGCGAACCGAAGAGACTGGAAGTTGTCTATGCTATATGCAATCACGCTGCGTAAATTATTCATCAGTGATGAAGGATGGCTGGGTCTAGCGCCAATGAACTCGGTTCCAGGTGATAGAATTGCACTACTTGAAGGCGGCAGAGTACCTTTTATTCTTCGACCTACGGGAAACGAAAATCAGTTTGAGATGGTTGGTGATGCATATGTGCATGGGATTATGGATGGTGAGGCTTGGGATGAAGGGAAGGATTTGATTGATATTGTTCTGGTGTAGGATGTTGAGCTTTGTGGTTGAGGTTGGAGGTGAGTGGTATATTACTTGATGGGTATAATAACTGACACTTGAAAATAGGATGAGTTCGAGAATATCATCTCGGTGGAAAGAAAATCCCCATTTGCAGAGATATTTAGATCAAAAAGGTCGGTACTTTCAAATATCAAAAACTCAAATATCTACCCCAAGTACCTTACTTCGAGGTGCATGATAAATGTGGCGTTCAAAAGGAAAATCATCTATCTGGTTATGTTGTGACATTATGGTGTATTTCATCGCAAATCACTTGAACCTCTTTAACCTCATAGCAAATAGTATCTCACGCACATATTTGATGATATCCTAGATTATAAAAGCCAATTAACAGTATACATTCAAAATCCCTATCAAGCCAAAGAATTCATACATAGAATACAAATCTCCTTCAGATCATTCCAAATATCCCCCCTCACCACCCAACTATCCTCCAATCGTACCCTCGCCCTCCAAAATCTCCAAAGCTAAATCACCCAAATCAAAAAAAACTCCTAAAGATATATAAAGACATTATCATGAATCATGAATATTTTGTTTCCAAATTCAAGTCAGTGTTACAACTTCAAAACCGAAGTTTTAAATTTTATACACCTCCATAAGAACTGAACGTACTGCGTCAGTTTTTCGTGTACAATCTTATGCATGCAATCGCTAAGTGGTTAAAACGGGGAATAGTATACAAAAGATCCCCCCTCGCAATGGGTAATGCAATACAAGAACTAAGACGCCAAAGTATGCTAATTGAGGGAGGATTTCTTATACAGCAGGCCAACGGGTTCGGAGTCCACCTGCCCAACGGCCGTAGAGCACATCTGTGAGTTGTTTGGTGTGCTCCATGCCAGGAATGGTTTGGCCTGGGAGATTTGAGATCTTCTCGGCTTCGGGCATGAGACTTGTTTGGCGTCGTCGGTGGCTCTTGAGATGGGGGTTGTTTTGAGCCAAGACGAGTTTGGAACCGGGCTTTTGGGGCGAGGCTTGGGGTGTACCATCGCGGCTTGAAGCCTTGGTAGGTGAGAGGATTACGGATAGTTTGGGATCAGATTGGACTTTTTCCATTAGGGCTTTGACGAATTGAAATTCGCCTTCTGGATCAACTTCATTCAATGCACTCCAGGCATCAGCTAAGCGAGAAAGCGCTTCTCTCTTAGCTTGGTTCCCAGTTTGCGCATGAATCTCCTGGAAAGAAGGATCCACCATCTTGTTAAAGATTCTTCGACCGTAGAGAGCGTCCTTGGTCACGGTTTCTGTCATAGGGGGTCTGTTTTCATCTCGCGTCGAACCTGGAGCTGAAACATCAGAGCTGACTTGCGCTGTTGTAGAATTATCAGAGACACGACGGAATAAGCGAACGGTCGATCCGGAATTGCCAAAACTCATATCTGGTTGGAGTGGCTTCTTTTGAGAAGAGCTGACTTGTCGTGTCTTAGTGGGTGTTGCAAGCTTCATGATTGATGGTTGCTTTCGTATCGTGTGTCTTTTTACGGTGCCTGACATAGGTGGAGGGGACGAGTATTCCAAAGGTGCGTCCTTTAGATCAAGTCTCTTGAAAGCTTCTTCGGCTCCGGAATTTAATCCTTGACCGTTGGCGTGGATAACAGAGAGCTTTCTTCTCTTAGTTGTGTTCTTCCTGCTCGCGATCGTAGACGCCTTTACGGTGTCGAAGACCCACTCATCCGAGTCGCTCTTGGGCATCATATTATTCCTGCAAAGTCAATTAGCATATGACATGATTGAATAACAGGTAAGACAAACAAAGTCTCCTCGTAAAACTTGGGATGTGAAGGTCTTGTTCTAACACCATCCCATTCCTGCTTTCTTTCCACCAACTCTTGGAGAGCCTCAACTTTTCCGGCAGATCGAATAAATCTGTGCCTTAACAAGTCCTTCGCACTTGGCCTTCTGTCACAGTCCTTTACCAAGCACTGCGACACAAAGTCCTTGAAATCTTTGCTATACTGGCTACCCTCGAGTTTGGGAGCTGGCGCCTTTGGTATCAGGAATAGGACTTTCATAGGATGGACAGAAGCATTTGGTGGCTCCCCATTGATCATCTCCATAGCCGTGATCCCAAGCGACCATATATCTGCTTTGAAGTCGTAGCCAGCCTGCTGAATAACCTCTGGCGCCATCCAGAAAGGAGTTCCTACGAAAGTGTTCCGTTGTGATTTGATGTTTGTAAGCTGCGCAGCTACTCCGAAATCTGCCAGCTTAACTTTTCCGGTGGTCGAGAGTAGAACATTGGCAGCCTTGATATCTCTGTGTATCTTTCCTTCCTGGTGGAGATATTCGAGTCCAAGGAGAAGCTCCCTACATATAATGGCGATATGCGCTTCGTTAAAACACCCAGGCTTGAGCTAAGAACTATTAGCTTCAGCCACCTTTATTCGAATTTGCCGTTCTTACCAAGTCCAAGCAAGACCCTCCTCCTAAGTATTCCATAACGATCCATAACTTGTGTCCTCGGAGGAAACTGGCTTTGTACTGGGTGACATATGGACTGGCACAAGTGCTGAGAACCGATATCTCTTGTTGGATTTCTTGAATGTCATCCTCGCTGGATTCCAAATCAATCTAGTGAGTATTAGTTTACTGTCATTGAATTGAGGAAGAAGGAGGACAAACATGTTTAATTGCAACAATCTCTCCTGTACTCCGTTCAATTGCCTTATAGACGACTCCAAAACTGCCACTTCCCAGCTCCTCAAGAACCTGGTATTGACCTGCCGCGCCTTCTGATGACATGTTTGCTACTCTTTAGATATACGAGGAAGAGCAAAAACAGCAAGACAGCAAAGAAGGTACAATTTCCAGGAGACTGGGAAGCATAAAGTGCGAAGCTGGGTCTTTTACTACTCGGAACATCCGTTGCCCTCCATCAACACAAGATGAGATCGTGGGCGTGGCACGGCTCGCCGCAGGGACTGTGCTGCCGAGAAGTAAATAAAGGAGCTGAAACCACTATACCAATGCGCTGCAGTGCAGGAATAATGTAAAAGGCCGATTAATTTGACGGAGAAAAGAGCTGGACAAATTCGTGATAAAAAGCTATTCAATGACGGTAGCATATATTTTTTGGAAGGTCGCGGTGGTGGTCTCGTCATGCATATGCGCCTTTCGATGTCGTTTGGTTCTCAGAAATTCGGGGAGCAAACGTTGCCGCTAACCTGGAAGCTCGTTGCCACATAGCAACCAGCTTGTCGTATTTTGATTCCCGGTTGACAAGGGAGCATCGCGACATCATCAATTGCCTGTCGATATTCGCTGTGTTATCTCTGCATTTTGGCTTCACAATTTCGCATTATGCTTTGGAGCTTTTTCTAGTATCATCATGGCGGTACCACAACGTTTTCCATGCTGGTGTCGTGCCATATATTCTTTTGGAGGAGAGGTAAATATGTACAGTGTGCTGGCCTTGCCGTGTTGCTAACGGGTTTGCAGTCAAAACGCGATTTGGGATTCATTGAGGGAGATCTTATAGAATGTTTGAACGCAGGAGATGGATCATGGTGGATGGGACGGTTAAGACGCGACAAGCGCATGATGGGATTATTTCCTTCGAATTTTGTCGAAGTACTAGATGAAAGTTTCCGACCTACAACAAGAACCTCGAGCCCAATGCCAAACCGATCGCCGAGTCCTAATCCATTTAACCCGCCACCACAAAAACAAAAAGCAAAGCATTTCGAAAACCGTTTCAAGCCTATGCAGCACCGGATCCTGCATTGGCCAAAAGAGCAGAATTGCGAAAGCAAGAGAGCATATCAGTATCGCGCGGTCCGTCGCCAAATCCTCATGCCTCGTCAGGAAGAGGGGGGCCAACTCAAGTTCGCGGATACGGGCCCAGAGCTGTTTCTCCAGCACCACCATCGCAGAATAACAGCTACAACTCGCGGTACGGGGGATCTCGAGCACCGTCTCCAGCGCCCCCAGTGCAACATATAAGCTACGACTCAAGGGCTCCCTCTCCAGCTCCACCACCTCATCACAATGGGCATATATCCAGAGCAGCGTCACCAATACCGACACCTCACCACAATGGATATGGGTCTAGGGCCCCTTCTCCTGCGCCGCCCTGGAATCATAATAGTTATGGATCTCGTGCGCCATCTCCAGCACCATCCTTCCAATATAAGGCGTATTCTCGACCACCCTCACCTCCAGAGTTTGACGTCGGATCATCACCTCCTCCGGCACCACCCCCACATCGAACCAACGTCTCCTCTCATACGCATTCTCACAGCCAACATATCGCGGGACACCACACTCCTAGGAGCGCTTCCCCAATTCCACCGTCTCCAGGAGGCACAGGCATGACGCCTTCCCCTCTTCGCTCAGCCATGGACGATGTTATGTCCTCTTTGTATGATATGGGTGTATCGTCGCGACAAACTCAATCGCCTGAACAGCCCCTAGATCCTTGGTCTCCGGAGGCCTTCGATCAAACGTATATCCAAGCCAAGAAAACGAAGGCAGCCCGCCCAAATACGGCAATGGGAATTGGCGGACGTAATGACTATATGGATCAGGAGAGGGGACCAGACATACCTACCCGACAGTCAAGCTACAAGGACGATCAAGCCCCCCCTCAATTGAGCAATTATGTTCGTAGGATGGAGGACCGGTTGAATAAGATGCACACTAGTAGCCCCAGATTACCGGATGATGACGACCCGCCACCCCCAGTACCTTCCAAATCCAAAGGTTATGAAAGACCAGGTTCAGCAGTAGGTGATAGAGAAAATGAACCGAAGTTGCGACACAGAAAATCGGCGTATGAGGTAGGCCGTTCAATGTTAGGTAGGACATTTACTACAAAAACAAACTCCACGGATTCCTCATCAGCTACTCGTTTCACGACCAGTAGTTCAAACACTCAGTCAACAGACAGAAGTCTTATGAGCGGAGCTTCAGCAAGCGGATTCTCGTCCACAAGTGCAGGAAGTTATGCACGGAAGAAGGAAGCTCTTCACGGTCGATCACGAAGCGCCTTTGGTTCAAGGAGGGAAGATTTTGGGACTGGCAATGGGAGCCAGATGGGTTTCGGCGACCGACCTGAGTCACCGTTTACAGGTGTCTCGTACCACAGCAGTCACGCTTCTGGCCCGGCAAGGCCGCAGTCTCAAGCTGGTTGGCAAGGCTCGACAATAGAATCAGGAAGCGGGCTCGGAGGGCTGGTAGCTCCCAAGCCAAAGAAAAGTGGCTTTTTTAAGAAGATGATCGAATCTGCGAAGACTGGTGCAGCGAGTGCTCGGAGTAGCATAGCTGTCGGTGATACATCGAGACCTGGAACATCAAACGGTAAAAGAATGCCAAACGGAATATCTTCTATCAGCGGGGGCCATCGTGACACTCCAAGCAGTGTTAGCGCGGCGAATGATATGGGGCTTGGCGGCGGTGCTGGTGTTGACTGGGTGCAAGTACGGCGGGATGTTAATCGTTCAAACTCACTGAGTCGCATTGAAAGAATAGAGAGGAAGGAGCGCTGTCAGATGATGGATTACCCTGCTATTAGTCCTGTGGAAGAACTTTTTGAGGGCTGCGATGGGGATGAAGGGGCTGACGGCAACCCGGTTGCTGAACCCACCGACTTCCAAGCCGTTAATATGTCACTCGTAGACAAGAACGCTCGATTCATTAACAGTCTACCACCTATGACGAACCCGGTCAGCTTAGCTACTGGATTTGTGTGTCGACCATATCGTAGTGATGTGCAGCGACTGAGGGCCATCTTTACGTGGGTCAGCGAAAAGATCACCTGGGAGGATGAATTTGAGAGTGCTGTCGAGTCCAGAAAAGTCATTCAAAACAAGCGTGGTGGCGCCGAGGAGGTCGCAGTTCTTGTCCTGGAAATGTGCGCAGCGGTCGGAATCCAATGTGAGGTCGTTCGAGGATATCTCAAAGTGCCAGGAGAGGTACCCGAACTAGCCATCATGCCACGAGCAAATCATTTCTGGAATGCAGTCATTATAGATGGGGAGTGGAGAATCATAGACTGCTCTCTTGCGGCACCCTCAAATCCTCGTCGACTCCTCTATTCTAGTACCAGCGGACAACACGCGGAAAGTTGGTGGTTTCTGGCAAGGCCCAGTGAAATTTGCTGGACTCACGTTCCGGAATTTCATCAACAACAGCATCTCTGCCCCCCCATGGCTCATGAAGTATTGCTAGCTCTTCCATGTGCTTGTCCACCGTATTTTAGAAACAATCTACAGATGGTAGAATACGATACCAGTATGGTTAGGGTTGAGGACCTTGAGCTTGTCCACGTCAAATTCACGGTTCCAGCTGATATAGAATGTGTAGCCGAAGTAGAAGCGCGCGCATTCGAACGGGACATGGATGGTGACTTTTTTGAAAGTGGAGATACAATCAAGAAACGAGCTCTTGCACAGGCTGAGTGGGTTGGCGGTGAGAAACGGTATACGGTGAAAGCACTCCTGCCTGGCGATGAAGGTCAAGGAATATTGAAGATCTACGCTGGAAAACGAGGACTCATGCATTCGATCAAGGATATTCCTCATCCTTTGGCATTTGCGTTGCCTATTGTACACACGGGAGAGAATCCAACATACGAATTCTTGACGCGGCATCCCACACCTCATGCCCAGCGGCATGATCTGTATGTCGCGCAGCCGCAGTGTCAACGACTTGCTCTCAACAATACTTTCGTCTTTGCGGTTCGCCAACATCCCTCATCAACAGCGATTGTATCTCCAAATCCTGGTGGAGCCTCGCCAATACCGTTTATTCGACCAACTTCTGCCATGTCGATTACCAACTCTTCTGCTTCTGGCTCTGGGTCGAATCCAAGCACATACGGTAGCAAGAAACCAGCGAAATTGGCGATCCAGGCGCCAGGTGGTAAAGTGTTGCGGCTGATGAGAAAGGATGAGAAGGTGCAAAGTACAAGTCAGGCAATAGAGAAGGGGGATGGAGGGACCTGGGAAACAATTATTAAAGTCGGGGAGCGAGGTGTATGGAGAGGCTTGGTCCTCGCTGATAGAAGTGCGAGATGGTGTGTTTTTGCTGAATGGACCTGTGTTTGAGTCTCTAAGTCGGAGCTTTATTGGCGTTTCCAATGGTGGATCTTTAATAGGAGGCTCAACGGGCAAAGGGGAAATAAAAATGGAGGATGGTGCATATTTTGGAGTTGATCAAGGAGATCTTGTTTGCAAATGGATGGAAACGGCCTCTTGTATAGTACTTGCATCTACAAGGAGTTTCTGTGGTATGTCTGCATGGCGACATGGTAGGGTAATCTAGCATCGGTGCTTTTTGCTGCAATTGAAAGTTTTACTCAACTGTTCGATTGGTTATTCCTGCAAATAATATGGGTGTGAAGCGGGATCACAGCAGGACACCTGCTCCCCTAGCTTCAAATACTAATGTATTTTGTTTACCCTTGAGCAAACCCCAGTAAAGTACCTCAAGAATGAACTTATTAAAAAAAAGAAGGATATCCTCAGCTAGTCATTGTTGAAAAAAGTCCCGAGTACCGAAACTTCGAGAAAACTCCCTGTGGTATGTTTGGTTTTTATGAAGTCAAATAACATTGCGATTGTGTAAAGGTCGTCTTCTACTTCCTTGACGACACTAATGTGGTATGGCGTAGAAGCTTGCGTGGCATACGTATGATAACGAGGCCGTGAGACGCTAGAGTCGAAGATGACTTGGGAGGTTGTCACTCCCTCATCCCTCAGTCATTTCACGGAGGCGAATGAATCATATCTTTCGAATCTTCATAACAAATGTAGATTACATGATTGATATCAGAATATTAAGACAACTCTTCATTCTACAAACGCTACCTCTGACTATAATATGCAGCTGATGTTTGCCCTATAGAAATCACTCAGCCAATCAAAAGCGGCCAAAACCTGAAACGCGAACTCTATTTTAACCTTTGACCGGGATTGCGCGGCGCGGTAGATTTCCCCGTGCTGCCGTCGTCCCGACAAAGAATCATTGTACATTTTTCTCTTGGAAGTCACGTATCGTCACATTACTATCGCATTGCTATAATCGCTCAATCAAGACATTCCTGTTGTATCGTTCAAACAAACCATTGTATCCGGAGATGTTGCCTCAGGCGTGACGCCACGTGTCTGACCCCCTTTTCCTTCACCATGGCGACGCCCATGCAAGATGTTGAGGAGGTGAAGCCGTATGAAGAGGAAGGACTGATTCCAGAAGTTGAGAGACAGATGGAAGGGTTCGATGAGAGCGAAGATGAGGATGATGAGTTGGAGTTTGAGACGGTGGGGAGGGATGACCAGGGACGGAGTCTGAGGCGGAGGAGGAAGAAGAGTGTTAAGGGGAGGGCGTGGATTGTACTTGCTACGTTGGCGACGGTGACGGCGAGGGGGTTGTTTAGAGGGAGTTTTCGTAAGTGCAATTTGTCCTGTTGTGAGGGTTTTGACTGACAATGTGTAGCTTATCGTAAGTGGCCGCTCAAGAAGACCAAATGGTTATGTGAGAAGCCTACTGAATTAACGTGATGCAGCACTTTATTTCTTGTTATTACTTCAGATTTCGGCATATATTACTGTGGTTGTGGCTGTATTGGCCATTACCATCATAAATTGGAGGGATCCAAAACGGAGATCCGATGAGAGTTACTCGCTGGGTGAGCGCGTAATAATTGGGACGCGTGTGTTAATATCTGCATGCTTTACGGCCGTGGCAATGCTTTTTTCGGTGGAGGCGTTGAAGTTGTATAATAACTTGTCTATTTTGGCGATGTTGCCGGTGAGTAACTCGAACACATTGGATTCGAAATTCTATATATTGTTGAAGATGCTGACTATACCAGGTTTTAACATTCGTCAGCGACAGCATAATTTTTCGGATTCTCCATATCTTCAGGATTTCGAGGAGAGAAAACGTCGTTCTCGAGTGGTGGTCAATTTGGATCATCTTCTTGGTACCGGCGTGTCTCGCCCTTGCGGTATACACAGATTATCGACTTGACGTTGATGGGCTGTCACATGCTATTATATCATGCCTATTTTACACTCTCGCAAAATCTGTTATGCGGATTGGACCAAGTTTGGAGAAGAGATCACCAAGCTGGGATTCGCCACTTTATCTCTACTTAATAGCCGGTATTCCTCTAGTAATAATTACATGGAGAGCAGCAGTCTTCTATGAAAACTTGGTTGCTGCTAACCATGCTCTCGGATCATGGTCGATATTCAGATGGATCTGGAATATGGCTCCTGGGGTGGTTCTTCAACTTCTTTTCAATCATTCCCTTATTTCAGCATATCCTTATTCTTCCAAGGAAAGAGCCTGTGGTGCTCTGGAAGATCCTAGCCCCGAAGGCAAAACTGCTGTAAGAGCTACTTTACATACGACCTTCTGGATCACCATTTTTGGAGCGCTCGGGTACGAACACAGTCTGGTCGATTGGTTCCAGACTCTTTCGTTCGTCCTCATCTATATTGCAAGCGTGGGTCCCAGTCACATCGGATACTATCCTCCAAGATTCTTCAATTTCCTCACTAGAATGATACGACGAAAACCCTTGCCTGTCACTCCCGAACCTTGGCAGTTCCCGGCTATACTTTTTGGGACTACAGTCATGTTTGCTGTTCTTATGAGCTGCAATGTCATGTTTTGGATCGATACTGCATCTTTCGACCGTGATGCGAAGACCTGGCTTGGTCCAAGAAAAGCTAATCTTGACCTCCAATACAGTCCACCCAAAGTCCGCTCAATGGAAATCGTCATCGCTCACGCCGCAGGTGATTCTCTTGAATCCGTTCAGAATCTAATCAGCGCATACACTTCCATCCCTCACATCGCAGGCTTCGGACCAAATGTCATCGTCTACACCAAAGATCCAAACCTCAAGAAAGCAGATGACATCCGAGGCGACAAATTCGCAGGTACAGTATCCCTCCAAACCCTGGCCAACTCAGGCGGCCCAACAGCCTCATTCCTCCACCACATCCTCCTTTCCTGGGAAACCTTCTCCCAACAAACCCTCTTCCTAACCACCGAACCCACTCCCATCGACCCCCGCCTCCCCATCCAACGCATGAAAGAACTCTTCATCCCCGGCACCTTCCCCATCGCCGACGCCGCCGAGAAAACCGCCTTTCTAAACCTCGGGCCCTCAACCGTCTGCCACTGCGGCTCCTGCACCGACGAAACAGGCTGGGAAGACTCATTCCGTCTCATCCCCTCTATGTGGGGAGCCGCCCGCCCTGGAACCGAGAAATGCGATTCCGTCCTCCTCACCCGCGGCAACAAGTTCGTCGCCTCTGCTGCCCGAATCCGCGGCATCCAACGTGACGTGTACCAACTCCTCTACGACGCCCTCGTCAAACCAGATATCGAAAACTCCTGGGCGCATGAAAAACGCAAACTCCCATCTCCTCTACCCTATGAACCACTTATCGGACGCTGGGCCCACGGCGGCAAAGCCGATGTCGTGCTTACTGCTAATGGGACTGTGGAAACTAGACAGGACACAGCGAGTCTGCCAGGGATATATGGGATTGGTGATACGTTGGAACGACCATGGTTGGGGTTTACGGTAGAGAGGCTCTGGGGGATACTCTTGCAGTGCAGTCGCCCGGAAATCGCGTGGAGGTGTCCGAGTTTGGAGAAGGGCTGGCGGATTGGATTTGAGAAGGAGGATTGTGAGTGTATTGATTAAATGGGATGTGTAAATGAGATGGTGGAGTTTCAGAGCTTAGGTAGAATTGGATTGATGAAAGGGTTTGCGGGAGATAGATGAAGTGATCAAGGGGCGTGTGTATACGGGCTGATCCGAGGTATATAGATCACCAGCTCCCACAGCGGGTAGATTAGTAGATGAGATGAGCGTGCATTCATGGTGGTTCTCGGCGTTTTCGTTTGTTGATGTAGATAGATTCTCGAAATGTATGATATCAAGCGTTACCTTCTTGGTCGTGGTTGATATTCCGTGGAATCCACTGAAAACGGACGTCTCAGTAAACACTCCGTACATTACATATCTTCGAAGCCTTGAAACCTTCTCCCACTTAGGACCCAATCCCCACCCTTTCTGATCCCTTCGCGATAATCTCACACCCAGACTGATTCCACGAAACTCCTTTTCTTTCCAGCCTAGACATCCGAAAATACGTCTTACATCTTACATCTCAAAATTTCAAGTCCCGTCTCCCCATCTATCCCTGCCAACGCACGCGCCACAAACGCATATCCCATTCTAAAGCATCGGGAATAACATACGAGAACCATAAACAAAGCCAGAAACATATTATACAGTCTCTTACATGTGACGTCAACCTCTATCCTATACATGTAGCTGAAAAGGTTTCTACCGCTATTGTTGAGCTGTAATCAAGCACGTCAGCCGCCAACAGTACTCAAAACATATTTATGTCATCGTTTGACTTATCATAGCAATGTTATCAGACAGACCTGAGCAGAAAATTTCATATAGACCACGTCAACGAACGACATTGAAAAAATTACTTCTTTGATTATTCTATATAACCATTTCAAAAGCCATATAATGCCATTATTTTAATCGTGATCCACAGCAGTCAATATCTTTTCGACGGCACGCCGGATCTCTACAAGACACACGATATAAAAACTATGTAGCCGGTCTATTTTCGACCACACCCTCGCCGCTCTCAGCATCTGATGTCTTTTTCTCGTCCTGAATACCATAATCTGTCTCTAGCGTATTTCTTAATGGTAGACCCTTCTCGATGCCAACGAGGAAGAAGCCAAATATGCTGATTCCTAAGCCTAGCCACCAGATAACTTTCAAGCTTTTGGAGTAGACGTCGACGACTTGGCTCCAAACTATTGGGTCGACGGAGTTTCGGAGATGGTGTGCCTCGCTTGCGAATGAATATGCTTGGCCGTCCTTCAGCATGTCTTGGAGAGTGGTTGAGGGTATGAGGTGGAGATTCTTGTTGAAAGTGTTGGTGAAGATCAGTGAAGGAATCGTGACTCCCCAGATATATCCGAATGTACGAATGAAACTGTAGGCGGCAGATGATGATGCGACGTCGGATTCTGGTAAGCCGGCCATGATGGCAGGGAGTAGAACGGAAAGGATGAGACCGGATCCAGCGCTATTGATTAGTTGATAGAAAACCCAGGCGACTTTTGGTGTACTGCCATTTAGTAAAGTGAAAAGTCCAAAACCGATGGCAGATAGTGTGAAAGCACTGGCATGAAGTGGACGGTATGAGCCTGTTTTGGCGAGAACAATACCCGCGACAGTAGCGAATACAAGTGTACCCATTGCAAAAGGAAGAAAGTATACCCCGGATGTGAATACTGTGGTACTTTTGACTGCTTGAAAGTAGACTGGGAGGAAGTATGAGGCTGCTTGAACGAGAACCGAGGAGAGGAATGTCAGGGCGTAGGCTACCGCTGAGGTGCGATTAGAGAATAATCGAGCAGGTACACTATTCGCAAAGTTAGGACTATTTTTTGAGGCAAATTGGAATTCAACTATATCACGTACCTCGGGTTTTCAGTAAACGCTTGCTGAATGTGGAACACAATCCATCCCACACCACCCAATACAAGAGGAAGGATAATTTTCCATGAAGACCACGGATGTTCCACACCACCCATAATCAAACCTAGTAAGATGGCAATCATGCTGGGAATGAATATAAGGTTTCCGAGAACGTCCAATTTTTTTAATTTCGTCATGAGATTGTTCTGGTGTGCGTCGCGAGTACTCGCGCCGTCCTTCACTCTCATGAAGAACAAGATAGCAACCAGTGCCAACCCACAAATTGCTAGTAACACGATTAGTACAAGCATCCGGAGTTTGGTCCATGGATTACATACGAATGTTCAAGTAAAAAATCCAGCGCCAATTGGATTGTGCCAATGCGCCACCAAGAACAGGCCCCAGTGCGGCGGCAACGCCCGACCAGGAGAACATCAAGCCCAAATATTTCCCACGTTCTCTCAATGGCACCAAATCGCAGCAGACAATATCCAGGAGCACATATATCCCACCCGCACCCACACCCTGAATCGATCTGCCTGCTATAAGCATGGCGGGGTTGATGGCGCCTCCCCCGATCCCACTGCCAATCAAGAAAAATGCCACTGAGACGATGATGGGTTTTCTTCGCCCAAATAGATTTGCGAGTTGGCCGAAAAGTGGTTGAGGAACGGAAGACGCCAGGACGAAGGAATTGGCTATCCAGATGTATTGTTTGGACCCCCCGATCTCGGCTGTAATAGTGGGCAGGGCAGTGGTAATAATGGCGACATCGAGGGCAGAAATGAAGGCAAGTAAACAGAGAGCGACAAATGTTCCCCAAAATCGAAAGGTTTTGGGTGCTGCTGGTGGTGGTGCTTTTGATTCCGTCGATGGTGTTGTTTCCTGATCCTGTCCATCTTCTACTGCTGTGGCACCTGGAACCGTCTTCTCGGTCTGGTCAGCCATCTTTGGCGTTCAGATGCGTCGAGGAGAACGAAAGGGAGGAACTTCGAGATGTGCTCGAAAACGAAGTGGTGAGTAGGACAAACGACGAAGCCTCGACCAGCGGGTCTCTTCAGGCGAAAACGCGTTGTGACTGTGACTCCGGTTACCAAAGGTGAAGGTACGAAGTAGGTTGGTTGGCACAAAGTACTCGAGTACCTTGACGTGTTGTGCTACATCTGCGTACGAGTCCAAGTACCGACCATTTCGAAAGATGAGAGGAAGGTGCGTCTGTACTTTCTCATGAGCATCTCAAACAGCGCGCCCGCGCCAAAACTGACGGGGATGAGATTTGCCGGCTCGACTTTGGTTATCTGATTCTAAACTCCTTGCAGGTGCGTTGAGTGAATCCATCTGCAAAATGGCTGGACTCCAATGGCAAAGATGGTCACATATGAAGGTTACATGGGGTTAACAAGGGTGAAGACTTCCCCCTTGTCCTACCCTCCTCTTTGATCTGCCTCCTTCGGGATAGGTGACGGGGGATGATCGGGTATATGCATGGACTCCAGTTATGGCGGCAAGGGTGTGATAGTAGGATTCCTAAGTGATAATCACGTGTTGGCATTTGCGCTAGTGACTGAAGCATGTTGAGATGCGAAGATGTCTGAAGTATTATTTGATGGTTTATTTACGAGTTCTGGTTCAAAGATGTGCAGATAGACCAAACAGACGGCGCTTCTCGTAGACTGTTTATCGTCCAGTTAAACGAGCCGCTGACTCATCAACCTCGGCTCGACGTCCAAAAATGGTCGGTTTTCAAAACACCAACAGCATAACCAACAACTCTAATGTGACAACACCCACATTTCTACATCTCCAGAATTACAAGCCTCCTAGCATCAGGTTTCACGCAACATGGATATCTAATTCTAAAGGACAAATCAAAACCCACCAATCACCCAATTTCATCCATTTTCAATTCCCAACAGTGCCAACCCGCCGACGTACACGAATCGTGCCCTTGTTCAGTGGCAGCTTCAAGGAAATGATGTTCATATGTTGCGGTCGGACTTTGAGGTACTCGATATCATAGTTCAGCAACATGTGTGCCATGAAGATTTTCATCTCGTTCAGAGCAAAGAATCGACCGGGACACGCGTACTTTCCGAAACCGAACCCCAGGAAAGCATCGTCGAGTGTTACAGAAGACTTGACTTTCTTAGGATCGCCGTTGGCTTCGGAAATCCTTGCTGCCTCCATATCTTCCTTCGAGGTAAAGGAGTCGAAAATATTTCTTACCGCACCTGGCTGAGCAAATCGGAACGCGTTGAATTTACGAGCATCGGGGTAGATGTCTTCATCGTAATGCACAGGCTCCATTGGCACTGCCAACACTGTACCTGGTGGAACTGTGATATCAGTGTTTTCAAGTTTGATTCCCTCTGGATGAACAACTGTTCTGGGTAATCCGATAGTTCCAAAGGGGGAAAGTCTCATCGATTCTCGGATCGTGGAGTCAACAAGAGTCAATTTTCTTACTGCGTCTCGCGTCCATGAGCCTCCTGCCTCCGCTAATACCGTCGCGCACTGCTCTCTAAGAGCTTCAACAAATCCTAGCGATGGGTCTTGGCTGAAGAGATCGAGGATCACATTCTGAACCGTAAATGATGTCGAATGTAGGGAGATATCATTCACGAGAAGAAGTCGATGTGCGACACGCTTTGGATCCAGTTGAGCAGGGTTTCCAGTCAAATAACACTCATCGATGATCCATTGCAGCGCATCTTTCTAAAAGTCAATCAGCTAGCGCCGCGAAATACATTTCATCGCCGACGAGAAGTACTTACTGGAGGCGTCCAGTTGTAGCTTGGGTTTTCTCTCAACTTTGCAGTTTCCGCCAATCTCTCCTTTACAAAAGGTAAACAAGTTTTCAATGTCTTTTCAAAGAGAAACCAAGTGGTCCATCCGACCAGAGTTCCAGAAACTGGCTTTAATATCTTTGGTGTGGAGTTGATGATGATCGCGCCGGCGAAGATGCTCATTGCGTGGTCGCGGAGATCCTTCAAGAATTTGTCATTACGACCTGGATGCAAGTCAGTACACGTTCCGACAGGTGCAGCCTTTTCGACATACAGAGAGGGGCACCGCAGAAGGCGCCGTTTGCGGCACCAGCGATAAGTTTCAAAGCAGAATCCCAAATTCGAATTGGTTTCCACTCGTTTGTGTCGGTACCCCAGAATCGCTCAAATCCCCAGGACAATTCCTCAGCAATCATAGGTGTCAGAACCTCCAGATTGCGAGTGAGTTGGTTTCGGATGACCTTGATCTGGAAATTATTTACACCTACTTCGTCATCCCAAATGGTCCATTTCACTTGGAGCGTGTCATTTTGAGTATTGTGTACATCGAGAACACTTTCTGGGAGGTCGTAAATTTTCTTGATTTGTCGAGGTGGGATCACTACCAGTGGTCCACGATCAATGCTTGGGATTACAAACGGAATGTTGTTTTTTGAGAACTATGGATCGTCAGTTCATTGTACAATCCGAAGCTCTATCGTAAGGGCGTACCTTGTTATATCCGTCAAACGCCCAACCTTGAGTCGCCCAGAGGGACCGGACGGTGGATTGTAACCAGGTAAACCATTCTGGTCGAAGGCCAACAACAGCTACAGCGGCAAAGAAGCCAGTTTCATCGCTCTGGTAATAATCCTTGAGGGAGAAGGCGAGGATAACAATGGCCACACATCCAAGCACTTGGAGCAGCGACAATGGTGATTCCATCTTGAAGCGTCGGCAGTCGATCAAGGATTTTTGTCGTTGTACGAGACCGGACGCCGCTGTGGGGAACAGCGGTAAGTGAAGTGAACACAATCACCTCTGGCTGAAACTCCGTTTGGATTTCAGTCGGATTCTAAACTGCCGCAATTCATAAGTTGAGATTTGTCCTCATTTTCCGTTCACGCCACGCTGAATGCAGCTCAGATTCGAGATAATCGATAACGGTTTTTCCGTACCTCTTTCTGCAGGTACAACGGCAAGGTACCTATTCTCAATTGGCCTTATTCAAACTAGCTGACACTAGAGCACACCGGTCACACAAATTGCCGAGACGACCGTCAACGTGACACTTTCTGGTGTTCCGGTGAAAGGTATTCTAGACCAAAAGATCGGATGAACCGAACGAGGCCTTGTGGATATTACTTCGTATATCGAACAAATGATTTCTTAGTATTTTGATAAGAGATTCTTCGGACGTGGTCTCCTCACTTAGACGAATGTTTCCGAAAAGGAATGGATATGCAGTGTGCTTGAGTACGGAGGGTGGTGGGACAGATTATGAGAGAACAGAATATTCCGGCCCCTCGTCAAATACTACATCCAGCATCTGCATTTATCACAGAGTCGAGCTTTCAAATCCACGCTACTAGGGTACTCCTAGTTGATTTTGTACTCCACAGCTTACAAGCGACCAGGCTTGTCGTGGACTGGGTGCAATCCGGATGAAGAGCAATTGAGCACCAGGTTCGAAACCAGTGCTCACGAAAGTTTGGTCTTTTCATAGTTGGGAATCGCCACTGTTACCCAACACCATCAGATTGGTACGAAATAAAACTACAAAGGCTACATGCTATCGGCGAGTATGTTTTTTTTGGCGGCTTCTAGGCATATCTGTTGCTCACCAAAGATGGGGTTCTTCGCGGTCCAGGGCTGCGTGCTGCCCACGGCCCACAATACGGCCCCGAGTCCCATGCTGACCAGGATTTCACCGGACTGTCACGGTAGACGGGCATCTTCACTATTGAATTGTCCTTTGTGGTGCTCAACTCTACTCTGTGAATACTTAAAGACGTTTCTTACTCTAGTAACCAGAATTTGGGAATTTGAAGAAGCATTTTACAACCACAGAGAAACCCCGTTCTTCCTTTGCGTTTCAGAAAACCATGCACAAATGCTACGCCGCACAGCACACATGGAGGGGCCAAAAAAGAGCTATCGAAGGTTGCAGCGATAGGATATAGTATATCCATCGCTAAGTAGCAGGCGTGTTGACCGCCACCGGTCTTTCGGGATGTTCTGTAGGGTAGTATTGACAACGTGTTGCGGAGCTACAGATAATCAGATGACCATGTGTAGGGGCTAGTGACCTGTCGACGAGGTAACATTTGGAAACCCGTCGGTCAAGCAATGCAGGAGGAGGCACGCACGTCTTCGACTTGGGACTCTCTCAAGTCACCCACGAATACTTTCTTTGCACAATCCTTATCTAGCCGCGACGTTATTGACACTGCGGTACAAATACTGTAAACCTTCGCTTCGCAAACCTCAAAAGGTTGAAGCGGGGCAAAAACAGCTTAAATGCGAGTGCCGAGTATAAAAAATATTGTGGCTGCAATAACAAATGGCTTTTTTTAAGGTTAACCCTAAGTCAGCCAGCTGGCCGTCGAGTTTCCACAAAGTCCTTGACTCGTCGGCGGGATGAATCATTTGAGTACAAGAGCCGAGAAACTGAGGTTCATTCCTCGAGATAACTCTACGATGATATTGCCCGCTGATGCTTATCCCGCAAAGAGGGGCAATCCGCGGAAGCTCACCTCAGACGGAAGTCGCAATCAATTCTCCAGAAACGGTCTGAACAAGGAATATCCATACGATACTGAGTTATTGTTTTAGATGTCGACATCGCAGATCTGATGTTCCGCCCGAGCTTCAGTACAGAACACGCCAGAAAAGATGTTATCTGACTGAGCAGAACCGTATCCCGCCTCTGACAACCCCCACATTCCGATTTGCGCGCTGGGGATAATCCATATTTGATTGGAAGAGCTCGGAGTTGAAATGTTCGTGATTAGAATTTTCTTTACTGAAGCCTCAGTCGATGATAGGAGGACATTTGTGTTTCCGAAAACGAGCGACATGTAGAATTTACTGAACCGGGCCTATGGAATCAATAAGAGCCTCACTGCAAACATCAAACCTTTAGATGTCCGATTAAGCAGATGTTGTGCTGATTCTTTTCAACAAACCTCCGAATCTGAAAGGAAAACAATCTTCTAGTGGAACCTCCACCTATCGGCACTTTTCATTCACGATTCGCTCTCGAACCTTGAGAACTGCAACACCGTGGCGCGATATGGTACGGAACAATCGACCGACAGACTCCAGTCGATTTGCGAAGTACGGCGGTACAAGCGATGCGGTGAGCGTTTTCGTCCCAAGCTAAAGGCTTTTGTTGCGTTCCTCGCTCCGCACATACCGTACGAAAGGTACGTCCCTTCCCTTCTCTCCTAAACTTACCTTCTTTGGCGGGCCTCCTACAATTCGGGTGAAATAGTTTGGGGACTCTCCGAGATGCGGATGTACTTCTCAAGCATGTCTGCAAGCGTTCTCTGGAACGAGCGATACGCAGCCATGGCCGTGGAAACACCTCCTTCCAAACTACATCTGCACGCTCGTGGGAAACGTGAAATGATTGGATGTTGTCGTTGCGATCATCAGGCAAACGGGTGATTGGGGTCTGGATATATTAGAGCGGGCCTTGATCTTGGTACCTTCCTGTTGTCCAACCCCATGGTCTCAAATGACAGGCCCCCTCGTCCCGTAAAACCGTTACAGGGACCCTTTAAGCGAGGCACAAAAGGGGGAGTACCTCCGAACACGCACCAACACGACGGGGCGTCCCGGCGCTAAAGACTAACACGCCCCCAAACGTGCGCAAGTACCTCGATGTACCACCCTTGTTTTCCCACTTCAACGCTGCGCTTTCAAGGAAGAATACGGCCCTGGTCGCAGCTGTTGTCGATTCCTTCAGCGTTCTGGGCACAAAGAGGTACTTGCGAACATTTGCCAACATCACACCAGCAGCCGTGCTTTGCCACCTGCGTTTGCGAGAAGCGAAATCCCAGGATTTTGGCCAGCTCGTACCCGCATCTCATCTGATCTTGATAGTCGAGTCTCGCTATGTCAAAGTGATGTGGACCAGCTCCGTGCGTCTTGAGGTATGTACAGTATGAATACACGACGAAAGCCCTATGATTCCACTCCATAGAGTATGCCATTCAGACTCCAAGAGGTTTTCGCTCTGGAAAAACCGAAGAATGCCAGGATGAGCTATGTCGCACTTGGTGGTATTGGAGGCTCAAATGAGGGCGCTCTCGAGTATGTGAGAACGTCTGATGGTAGTTCCATGTTCACAGTTTTGCAAGTGTCACAATTTGAGATCAACGATGAACAATGTCGCACTTGTGTCAAAGATCATGCTATTTTGATAAAGCTACGTTACATACAGGTCTAAGGAGATATACCGTGTCCACCGAGGGACAAAACTCCTAAAAAATTGGTATCGCATAGTACAAGTGTCAATCCCGCCAAGGGAGACCCGTTTCCTTAGGGAATATCTAAAAATATTCCCTTACAATGCATTCCCAAACCCCAGTTCCAATTCCAGATGCCAGCCATGCCATGTTTCTATTCTTTAATTACGGTAACTTTTTATTTCTTCAAGTGGAACTTCAGTTGATGCAGATTTCATTCCAGATTTCATTGAGTTCGCATCTCCAAGCACGACGTACTGCGAAGAAGAGGAGTCGTTGATGTGATCACCACTTCCGCCCGCTGGGTTTGAGGCAAATGTGGATCGTTTCGTTGATTTGGTTGTTCTGCTTCTGCTGCCCGACATGGAAGAGAATGCTGTCTTGATGCGCGAGTAGATTGTGAGCTTGACGATCGATTGAGACCAGAATGAATAGGTACTTGGAATACATCCGACGATGATTGCAATGCTTGCTTCGATAACACTGTAGTGATCGTTAGCTTCCACTCGTGTTTTGCTTCTCGCGCATTTACTTACGTGCAAACCATTGCGGAAGTAAGATCATTGGAAGTTCCTTTGAATGAACCCCATTTGTAGTAAAGCGACACAGCACTAGCTACAATCGCGAAGACACCAGTCAGGAAGACTATGAAAAGACCAATCTTCTTCGGCCCCGCCATCTGGAGCTTCAAAATGACCGGGATCGGTAGCACCAAGATGATCAAATCTGCGACCACAGAAGTCGTCCCTAGAGTGACTCCGATCTTGGTGCTTGTAGTCGTGCAGTTTAGGATGAAGGGAATATCAAGCACTTTGTTTCCTGGACTGCAAGCTACGCCTGTGTACACCATTCCAACGAAGAAAATGATGAATGTTACAGCCAAGGTAATGTACGAGGATACTTTGAGCCAATTTTTGACACCGAAAAGTCGGATGTAGAGAAGAAGAATTGGGGCTTTGGATGACCAGATTGCGAAGCCAGAAATGAAGTCAATCGCAGTTGCTAACTATAATACAGATTAGCTTGATGAGCTGGGAATCTTCAAATTGTGGTAAGCACTCACCTCTGCCATATATTTCAGACTAGATGTTGGATCAAATAGTGCTTTCATCGATATATATGCGAGCGCATAAGTACCAGCCAACAACAACGTTGCGACCACTGGAACGGCTATCACACATTGTCAATATTACTACCACAGACTGGAAATTGAGAACGTACCATCGTCGATAAGCAGTCTCTTAGTTTGAATATTCGCGATCAAACGCATGGCCACGAATACCGCGGTGACAACCACCAAAGCGGTTCCCACACCCAAGAAAGCATCCACAGACATCCCCGCTGGGGCGCCACCAGCTGGAGAAGCCATGATTGAAAGAGGACACCTGCAAAAACGAAGCGATACGCTTCCAAAGCCTCAATCTTCTGGCGAAGAAAATAGAATGGCGGAGAGATCAGCTTGATAAGAAAATGATCAAGAATCATGCTCCACGCCGAAATAAAATGAGGTTTCAACTCAACTGATAAACATCAATAACAAAGTTTCCTGTGCCTCTACGCTTAGTAAGGAGGTGCAAGGCCACGAATCCTTCAGCCCAGTGTGTTAGAGAATAGGGAATCCCAAGAACGTGTGTGTACTACCCAAGGTGTACTGGAAATCCACCCACACCTAATCTTGCATGAAGATCACAAGGAAGTGCGACCTTCCTTCATCTATTTCCCAGTTACTGAAAGGTCCTTAGAATCAGATAAGATTACTCAGTACCGATAGAAGCGACATGTCAATAATACGTCGCATATATGCAGGACAATCTTGTCCCTCAGGTGCAAGCGATGGATCGAGGCGGTGCGAATGAACGTTACCCAAGACTCCCAGTTGTGTTTGCATGTGCTGGGAGAATCTAAAAATCGTAAGTTACCGAATCAAGCAATGCTCGCTGGTGTGACGGACTTCCTTTGGTGCTTGTACGCTGAACTTATTTTAGACTTGTCAATTATGGCTGAGCCTTGAGGGTGTTACCTTTCCTTAGCAGCTCCCCACTATTGTACATTGTACACATGTACAAAGTTACTGGTGTCTACCACCTGTAGGTTCCTGCAACGACAGGAATAAGTGATAGACAGTCCTTCGTTTCTAAGCGAGGCCTTTGCAGTTCCAAGTATTCAAAGCAGATGTAGCTCCGAGCCAGCGCCACCCCCGGTCGCACAACGTTCTGCAACAGGGATCGCATCGAAGAAAAGGTTATCACAGAATACGACATGGGGTCCCTTCCCCTCCCTGCAGGTTGCATGGGTTGTACAAGGAAGCCTTTCTTGGTTTCGGTGATCCTAGAACTGTCAGAACGAAGCGAGAAACAAGAACGAGACCGGCTCTCGCGCCTGCAAGACAACAATTCAGCATGCACGTCAACCCTCCTCCCGTAGAGTTTCCCTTCCAGAAGAGCGCCTCGGCCGGCCTCACCTGTCATGAAGTGGGATGATGGAAATCGCATTCGCCGGTACTTGGCTCACAAATGCGCCGTTGAACAGTCCATCACAAACCAGCTACGTGGTTCAAAAACGTGGAACTTGCGAGATAACACTGCTCAGAAATTTTTATGGTAAACACTATGTAATGACTAGCACGAAACGTCTTTACTAGGCCTTTAGACCATTCGATGGAACTTGCCGAGGCCAGGTCCACGATCGGGGAACCTTGATGACTGATGGAATCTGAACCGAAGCTTTTCTGGATTTCTTCGCCCGGCAATATAAGCTGCATTACCCACAGTGACTTTTTTACTTCTGCGACGCACGGGACACGCTGGTTAATTGTTGATCATTACCGTCGCCATGGAATATCTTAATCAGACATCGGTGCAGGAACTCGGGCATCAGGCTACTGTTATTGCTATCAAAGATGGCGATCTGCTTGCTCCGGTTGCGAATTTTATGAAAGTTAGGACCGTTACTTGGATTGCTGCTGCTATTCCGTTGGTGCTTTTGATATACAGGTTGTTGATTGACCGCAAGCTGGTAAGTTGATACAAATCATATCGATTTATGGAATTGAAAATTAGCTAATTTAACAAAGCAATCCAACTTTCTTGTTAGAAGATATCACGCATGGAGGTACCTGTTCAGTGGTCCTCAGATCATCCAAGATGCATTCAACAAGGTAATTTCATCACCTGATATACAAAATCTATCAATCAAAGCAACCTTCTAACATCATCTCAGGCTGGTGGAAAACCGTTCGAGGTTCTCGCTCCCGACAACCGCTATGTCTTTGTTTCCTCGTTGAAACATATCAAGGAGCTTGACAGCGCTCCGGATACCGTTCTCTCTCTCCAAGCAGCATCAAAACAAATGTTACAGCCAGTGTACACCATGACGGGTTTCAACTGGTTCGACAGACGTGGTACAGAGGGAGTTGGATTTGTACGAGCTCTTCGTACCATGCTTACGGCGAATCTTCCGCAGATCCTCCCGGATCTCAGCACGATTATCAGAACTAGATTTGAGGAGATTCATGAAACGCATCCTACGGTAGATGGTACGAGATGGCTTCCAGAAGTATGAGTTTTTGGCTGACGAATTATTTTAGGTGAGAAGCAGTCGGAGGTGTATCACATGATTGTACAGCTGGTAGTCTTGTCCAACGCCGTGTCATTTTTCGGAAAAGATCTCGGTAAGATTTCATCTGAACTCTCCACGTTTGCAACGTTTCCTGACAATCTGCCAGCCAAAAACGAGCAATTCATGGTCTCAGCACTCGCGTACATCGAACACACTCTGATATGCGCCGAGGTCGTACGCTTGGTTCCAAAATGGCTAGCACCGTAAGCACACCAGCACACACCGCTACACACGGAATTCCCAACTAACAATAGCTCGCTAGCATTATTGGTGGTATTATTGCCAAGAGACTTCACGCACACGAGATTATCTTCAACACGCTACTTCCTGTCGCACAGCAGCGGATCGATGAGAAAGCACTTGCAGACTTGGGTCAACAAGTGCCAAAACATGCATGTGCCCTTCTGTAACCCACACTAAATGTGTTACTAATTGGTGGAATAGGCGGATTGTATTCAATGGATTATGGAGACGTCTCCGAGAGCTAATCCGTGGAATGCGAAGCGGATTGTTCATGAGTTGATGGCGATTTGGTTTGGTTCTGTACATGCGCTTTCTACAGTAAGTATTCAGGAGAGTCAACTACCGAATTTGTGCTGATGAGTTGAATTTAGACCATCACATTTGCTATTCACGATCTCTGCATACATCCAGAATATGTTGCTCCATTACGACAAGAGATGGAAGAGGGATATGCGGATTTTGAGAAAACTGGTCTAGGTCTTCCTCTGGTAGACAGTTTCATCAAGGAATCTGCTCGTCTCACTCCGGTCGAGTCAAGTAAGAAAAGTCTCTGATACTTCGCCATTTTCATACTGACCTAGACAGTGAGCACACGAAGACATGCACTCCAACCATTCGAGCTCTCTGACGGCACAAAGGTCAACGTCGGCGACTGGGCATGCACACCCGTTCGTGCAATCATGACAGACCCGGAGACCTACCCATCACCCAACGACTTCAACGGCTTCAGATTTGCCGATCCAAGTATCGTAGAAGAAGTTGTCGGAGGCTTCAAGACACCACAAGAGAAGCCATCGAAGCTCACTGATGTAGGAAGTACCTTTCATGTCTGGGGTACGGGAAGAATGGCCTGGTAAGTTCAACCGAATCGATGAGATGGTGTAAGACTGATGAAATTGGACAGCCCAGGCAGATTCTACGCCGCTGCGTGCATGAAAGTTCTGATGGGTCAAATCATCATGAACTACGATATGAAACTCATCAACCCCGAAGCTCCTCGCATGTTCACGTGGAGATCAAGCATGTTACCTCGACCGAAGACGAAGATGGTGTTTACTCCTCGCGTTTGAAAGCTGCAATCGCGCATGCTTCTACCTTACCTTTGTCTTGTCACCGTTCCTGATTTCCATCTCATCCACTTCATTGATTTTTCCGATATCCCTATTCGCGTTCCAGCATATTCCAAGTAGACCTCACATCACATAGATAGATTCCAATTCCACACAAAGTACCACTACTACTACGTACATCTTTCGGGAAACTTCCGAGTCGAAACGGGTTTAGCATAAATGCAACGCCTTTTGGTGACCGATTGGTGAGCTCGTGCTCGTGCTCGTGGTCTTCCCCACCCCCACTCTGTGCCTGTCCTGGTCCATGAGGGGTATTTTCGCAACATGGGACGGGGATCCACTGTGGGTGTCAATATCCTGGTTCGAAGCTCGAGCGTTGAAAGTGGTGGGAGATAAGGTAGCTCCGTACCGGACTCGAAAGGGAGGGTGACCCGTTAGGAGTTGTAATATTGATCGGATAATGGGGTTTTGTTGGTGTTGTGTAACTATTCGCGGCCAGTTCGGTTACTATGGATGTTGAATTTGGAACCGTGTAACGCTGCTGAGCTGAATTGGTGTTCGCAGCGAGTATGTAGGCTGACGGCAAAGCAGTTCCCTTGACCTGGCCATGGTGCAGTGACTTTCTCGGTGACATGGCGGCGGGTTCTGTGTCGTTTCTGGCGTTTTGGGGATGGAGGATTGAATCGGTGCGTTGGAATATTATTCTGCTCTTGATTTTTGATAGGATGACCTTTTGATAGGTTTGGAACTTCGGAATATTGGTGGCGAAGACGGTTTCTAGACTTTAGGAGTGGGGTTGAAGAGCTTGAGCAGTTGAATTCGGATTGGGGTATGTTTTCTCTAGGATTGCTTGCTGCTCAGTGCGGACCAGATGCAGGGAAGGGGAAACGGGAAGTATGGGTTCTCCGCTGCGGACTTTTTGTTTTATGTATTATCCTCACGTTTGTCAGCTTCAATTAGCTGATTTTGGACATGTTATACCATACCAGATTTAGTAAATACCAGATGGATCAGGTTCGAGGTGGTACAATGTCATTTTTCGGGTGATAAAATAATAAGTGGTAAACCTCACTACTCACTGCTGAAGATTGTGTGCCACAATGTGTTACAGGAATCTTACTGGGCACTTGTTTTGTGATACATAGCCGTCAGAAAGCAAGTATACATCCTTCATGTACCTCGGCGTACTCGCTATCGATATCAAAAATGGGATTCATGTGAGATGGTTTAGAAATGGTTGGTTTGTTGCAGATTCGTAGGCATATATTTGTGGTCGGCGAGAAAGTTCGTCTGATAACCACAAGAGGCAAGAGCTAAGAACAACCATCTTTCCGAGAAGCCGTCAATTCTGTGCCGCTCATGTCTGACGCTCCGGGGAAAGTACCGTGCAACCTTCAATTAGTCTGACGGCCGGCGGGTGGCTTAGTTCGGCCTGGAAGTACAAGGTTTGAGCAAATGTGAGAGCCATCACAACAAGTCGAAAAGATATACCAATACTTGGAGTCCATTTCACGTGCACCCAAGCTATTAATACAATTTCAATTGGCAATAAAGATACACAACTATTTGCTAGTAATGTATAGTAAAACTCTCAGAGACAATACGTAAGTAAGCATGTGAGGATGTAACTCTGCCCATGTATTCCACGTGTCGGAGCTTCCCTCAATCCAGCCCATGGCCAATACACAACCTCCCTCCTCCCTGTTTGCCACGTGCGGGTAACTTTTTTCCTTAAACTCAACAAACCTCTGATCAACATTTGGCAACTCCTTCCAACAATCGTTGTCATCATGTTCTCACTGTCTCTGATCGCGAGATGTTGCGTCGCGGTGCTTGCGTTCGCTTCAAGCTGTCATGCAGTACCTTCTGACCCTTCATTCGCATTTGCGCCTCTATCAATCAGGCAAGGTCAAGCAGTTGATGCCGCAATCGCATCTCTCAGAGCGGTCATTCCAACTAGGATCCTCGCCGTTCGGGGTACAGCTCTCTACGATGAACGAAACGACTCATACCTCGCGGCTCAAGTAAGTGAGGTCAAACCGGTCCTCATTTTCCTGCCAACATCCAAAGAGCAAGTTGCGTTATTCATCAAAATCATCAAGCCATTTGCAGTCGTGGGGATTGTGCGCTTTGCTATTCGTGGCGCTGGTCAGATGCCATTGCCCACTGCTGCGAATATTCAAGATGGAATTACGCTCGATTTGGTTAATTTGAAGGGGATTTCGCTGGATACTTGTTCGGTTACAGTGGCTGCTGGAGAGATCTGGGGGAATGTTTATTCGAAGTTGGAGGGTACGGGATATGGTGTTGGAGGAAGTCGATCTGGATTGGGTGGAATTGGAGGTCTTGCGACACAAGGTGAGCTTGAATTTATGATTTTCAAAGTTGATGTACGTTTCTGATTACGTGTCTAGGCGGCCTTTCATTCTTCTCTTCTCGTGAAGGTCTCATTGCCGACAATGTTCTCAACTATGAAATTGTTCTTGCGTCCGGGGAAATCGTAAACGCCAATGCAAAGCAGAACTCAGATCTCTGGGTTTCCTTAAAAGGTGGAAACAACAATTTCGGAGTAATCACCTCATTCACCCTGAGAACTTTCAAGCAGAGTCCCTTTTGGGGAGGAAGTATTTATTACTTCTCGGACAGCTTCCCTGGTCAAATCGATGCTTTGGTGGGAGAGATCAAGAAACCAAATCCAAGCCCAGAAACTCAACTCATGATCAGTATTGGTTACTCTTCTCAATTGGGCGGTATTTTATGTCAAAACCAACTTTACTACACCCAAAATGTAACTTCAAACCCACCAGTCTTGAAGCCATTTACGGATATTTCACCTCAAATCGACTCCTTGAACTCTATGAGACCTCTCACGCTCAAGAGTGCGGCTTCAGAACAAGCGGCCGACGCACGCAACCAACTTCGGTAATCCAAATTGTTCTTAAATTACTAGGTCAAAAGCTAACATTTGCAAGTACACTGTACATGAATACCATGATCAAAGCAGACGCCGCAACCCTCAAAGCAGCCTCAACCTACTACACAACCGCAATCTCAACCATAACCTCCGTTACTGACCTTCTCGGCTCCCTAACTCTCCAACCATACCCTCTATCTCTCCTAAACCAACAAGCTCCCAACGGCGGCAACGTTCTCGGCCTCGATCCATCCTCCGGTCCTCTCGTCTCCATCCTCCTCTTAACGTACTGGTCCAACCCAGCCGACGACGCCCTCGTCTACACAACAATGAAGAGCGTACTCGACAAAATCAATGCCGACGCCACGGCACGGAAGACACTTGTGCCCTTCAAATTCATGAACTACGCGACGAAGAGCGATGATGTTATTTCCTCGTACGGAGCTACGAATAAGGCGAAATTACAGAAAGCGAGTAAGAAGTATGATCCACAAGGATTGTTTCAAACTGGTGTTCCGGGTGGGTTTAAGTTGTTTAAATGAGTGGGATGTTTTGGTGTTTTAGTTGCGATAGAGGTTAAATATAGTTACATCAACGTAAACCCTAATTTCGCGCTTTTTGAAGATGATGTAGATTACTACAAGCGTTCTTTTGGTGTTATTCCATATATATAGATAACTTATGATCCTTTTTCGTCTTGCCGGATGTTTCATAGTCACTGCTCTCATTGCCTTGTACGATCAACGTGACACCGCCTTCTATGTGCAATTATGCTAGTAAAACGAGTCTCCAGTGCTCTTTCATTAATAGATAATTTCAGTGTAGTCTTAAGGGCCGTCTAGTGTATTTGCTCGAGTGATAAAAATAGCTACTTGACAGATCGTTGTCCCCGCGTTTGGGCAGAACTGCAACACACTGACAATCATTCGTGAAATCTTGAATGCTGTATTCTCAATGTATTCATAGACATTACAACTAGCATTGCCTTCATTCATACAAGAGACAGCTTACAGTCTGCGAAGCGTGAACCTCTGGGGATGGTAAATTGCTGAGTTATGATTGAACTATTCATATACATAGACTTATCACAATTTTCTCCAGAATTAATTGTATAGTCGGTAAGTTGGAAGTAGAGAAAAGCTCTGTCTTGGCAACTACGGCGTGATATGACGATTTGAATGTCTTTCCCACCCACTCATAAACATTTCATCACAAAAGTCAGTACAATCAGATTTGCCAAGTTATCCATTGGAATACCACTACACAATCTCTTGCTCAAATACTTCACTCTGCTTATCAACCATACAGCCATAAACTCTTATGATGTTTCCCCAAGATCAACACTAAATCGATGCCTCATTGCCTCTTTATCCCCACAACATCCAGCAAGCGTAGCTTAACTATTTTTCTTCCTTACTCCGATCACGATCTCTTTCTCGGTGTCTTCCTCAATACCATCTTGGTCGATTTGATGTCTTCCACTTCCTCTTCCTTGACGAATATCACATCGTCTTCATCAGAGTCGTCGGTGATTATTTGCTTTTCCTCCAGGCAATTTTCTCTTTAGCCTGATCTTCTGACATTCCCTCAATCTCTTGCATTGTCTTTCCCTCTGCCTTCTTTTTAACCTCTGCTTCTACCCTCTTCTTGACCTCTTCTTTTATCCTCTTCTTGACCTCTTCTTCTACCCTCTTCTTAATTTCTGCTTCGGCCTTTTCCCTCGCCTTCTCGGCTGCCCTTTGCTTCGCCTCTTCCTCTGCCCTTTTCTTAAGCTCCTCTTCTACTCTCTTCTTAACCTCTTCTTCTACCTTTTTCTTAATCTCTTCTTCCGCCCTTCTGCTAGCTTTCTGCTCATCCTCCCAGTCCACCTCTTGTGCCGCATTTTCCACAGCGTTTGGCTCCATCTCTCTTTCTATAACGCTTCTCACAGTTTTACTCCTCTTGCTCTGAGCTGGCTCGGAACTCGGAGGTGTCTTCCTCTTTTTGGAAGAAGTTGTATGTGTTCGTACAGGCGCAGACTTCTTGATTCGCTCCGTATACGAGGCTTGGATCTCTCCTTCAACTATGGATCCATGCTTGGGTTCAAAGAACAAATCCAATGGAGGGACACCCTCGTCCGAATAATGGATAAGCTCCTCATCAGGAGCTCCCTTGCTAACGATGACACCGTACGGACCGGGTTTTGCGTTGATGAAATCCATTTCAGCATAAGTAAGTCTTGGTGGCTCAGGTGCTGTTCCAATGGGGAAAGATTTGCGTTCTTGATCGATGATACGCCAATCACTACTGGCGGGGACAATTTTTTTACTCATCTGGTTGCTTGATGGGTTTTTGATTCTGTGGAAGATAGCGGAGTTTATCAACCGAATGCAGTGGACAACGCAGTGCCATTTCGAAAGTGCCAACATAAAGCGGGCGCTGTTGACGCTTATCAGAACACTTCCACGTGTTGGACTAATATACTCGTCCGAAAATGCAATTCCTCTTGAAGTTTTCCATCTGCTCTTGATGGCGCTTATCGATATTTCGACCGATTTATCATTTTTCCAATCTGTGTTTACCATATAGCCGAGAAGGAATCCTGGAAACATTTGCCAAAGCTTCCTTCCTTTCAATAAATTGCGTTCCTCGTGAAGGCGTTCAAAATTCTTGAAGACGACTGACAACCTTTCTTTGAGCTCTAAGCAAGCGTGGATAACGAGCGTTGTTATCGTCTCAGTTGTATCTGTATCCTCACATTCTCTCAGAATCTTGAGATATCTTCAATCCTCTGAGAATGTCGATGAGAGCTCAAGGCATGAATAACGTCATCCACTGTGTCGAAATCCTGTCCATCGATTTGGAATCCAGAGCGCTTGCGCTTCAATTCAGATGGTTGTTGTTCATTCATGTTTCTCGAAAAGTTGGAGAAGGTGGAGCATTTGTTGACGAGTTGGGAGTGGCAGACAAAATATGGGAATGATGTTAGGGAGGGCCGGTGAACAAATGGCAAGGACATGTGGGAAAGATAACAGATGTTAAATTTCAGATCAACTTTGTTTACCAGGCAGCTATATTATTTCAGGCGAACGCTGCTTAGTAAGTGATTGGCTAGTTGAACTAATCTACGTGAATATTCTTTTTATGTAGCTCAATGTAATCGTTGGTGAACTGAATTTACCAAGTGACCACATGTTGGAACTATCTGATTAAACATTATTAAGTAAACAAAGTGTAAGAACCATAATGTAAGAACCACAAAGTCGAAAGTCGATGTACCCATTGAATAAGATTTAGGTATGAATGTTTAACAGATTTTGGAAAGCTTTGTTTCATGAGGAGGAGGACCTAGAGATATCAATAGATATGATGAGATGATAATGTAAGGCTGACTACATTGTTATTAGTGTTATTAACTGCAGGAATTAGGAATTCATTGTTTGGTTATTTAAGCACAATATATTTTCAACCAGTATCTAAGATAATTCAATACTTCAATTAACTCCAAAATACAGGCAAAGATACCTAGAATTAGTTTGATATATATAACATTATTAGTAGACTTATTACTATCTCCCTACTAGATTCTTTGTGTGACTAAACCGTGGTGTCATGCAAGGGAAGTTGTGCTTGTTAGTCGACCAAACAACAAACCACCCCCTTGACCTGGAATTGTTAAAAGTTGTTACAGGCGGAGATTTGTAGAACAGAATATGGGAAGATCTAAATCCTCACATAGTATAATTGCGCCCAGCAATTATTAGAACACTGGTCAACTAAAGACCTGATTCTCAGCAAACAAAGCCTCAAATATTCCAAGTGAAATTGTTTGTGTGCACCATGAAATCCGAAAATGTCGACAAATAAATGGTTCCTGAGGGGCTAGATTTGAGGTGAGTTGTGACTCCTCCAATTTCTATTGAGGCACTGAAGAATGTGCACACTGGAGTAAATGGATGGTCGTAGTTCATGTGTTTTTGTCGGGAATCCATTCACCTAATTGGATGGATCTGTCCCCACATGGCCCAATTAGGTTTAGCTAGTCACGTGTTGAGGCTCGGCGGCTTCTGCCGCCTACTTGAGCCTCAACTCTCTCTATAGCTAATAATCGTCCATATACTATTCAAGAATCACACCGCATATTATGAGTTATATACCATACCGTGCAAGTGATTAGAACTAGTAATCCGACAGTTTTACAGGCTGGACACAGGATCAGAAAACCTAAATTGAGCTAAGGAGACTAGTTGACACTGCGCTAGTCGCAACGCGATATGAGATATATTCTCAAACTAAGTAAAACTTTGCTGCCAAGAGTAGACATAAGAGGTATCTTGGAAATAAAACTTGAGATATAAACGAAAGGGCAGAGGAAATAAGGCAATGGAGAGGTGCTAGATACGATAAACACTTACAAGCTTAGCTTGCGTTGAATCAAGAGTTGAAGATGAACAGTTAAGGCTGATTGGAAACTCTTAAATCTACTACACTCAGCGAGATGTCGGTCATGCAATCCTAGCAGTAGCCCAACGGGAGGTAGTTAGAACTTCATCGAAACCCTGTAACGAAACCTGACATCCAATAACAATAACCTACCTCCTGCACAACACAAAACTCACAAACATTCACTCTCTACCTCACAACTCTCAGAATAGAACCAACCGACTCACTGGTCACAGCTCCGAGACTCGACATACAGGCTGAAGTCTGACATGATCTGGAAGCGCGGATGGAAATAGCAATGACTGCAGATGAAACAACAGGAAAAGGAGCGATTATGCTGTGTAACTACAACAACGTGTGTCGGTAAAGTTGAAAGTGCATTTTTTTTGCACCTTCCACACGGGGGTTTGTATAGGGGGTGATGAGGTGAAGGGAGGTAAGTGCTGAGATTGTGGAGGATGGATGGGGAAGGCGATTGATTTGTTGGGTTTGATGGATTGAATTAGGAGAGGAAGGGATGGAAAGTCTGGTTGATGCTTTTGGTGGTTATTGGTGGAACTGTAGTGGATCGAGGAATCTTGCTAGATTTCTGGAATAGGGGTTGAAAAGGCTTAAAAACTCTTAGCAGTATAAAAGAGATATTTAGCACTGTGTTGCGATTGTTGTTTAATTACTTGTTCGCAAAACATTGTCGTATGCCGCTCATCAGTATAGTTTTGTGGTGGATTTGCAGTTGTTGGTTGCAAGTTGCAAGTTGCAACGTTGTACTTTGCGACTCGAGCATGCAGTACGAGTTCATATGATGATTTGCCCCTGAATTGTGCATAAAACTCTCTCATTAGACGGCATTAATGCCTCAAATAACTTGAAGTAATGTCTCAATAAACGGCAAAGCATCGACAATTAAATGTGAGTGGGAAAATAAGGTCGCGTTCTAGGTCTGCCCCGCACCCCCAACATCACGTGCCCTTGGACGTGGGGGTCCATTTATCAGCAGTGCAGAAGCTGAATCACTCCGCAAGGGCTCCACCAACTTCGCGGGCGGACACCCCGAAACCCACACGATAAGGCTGAGAGAGGGTGTGCGAAGATCTTCTTCACCTCGTAATCGATTTCAATAACGGTATATACGATTCGAAAGCTAGGAGTATAATCTCCTCGTCCTCCGCGATACCTCTTGTCGAAATCTACTACGTCCCTCCGACGCCCATGTCTTCACGTCTCGTAGGGGAACGAGATGCCTCCCCGAATTCGAACAGTTGAGGGTTCTTGCTGGTCGTGCAAGGAGCGAAGGGTTATATGCGATCTCACAACACCGGCTTGCACGAAATGTACAAAGACTGGAAGGGACTGCTCCTATGGCACTGTACGCCTTAAATGGACCGACTGTGTAGCTTCTCGAGGACGATTTGCTGGGAAGAAGATACCGTTATATCAACCGCCTATGGTCCGCAAGAACAGCGACCACCATCTCATGTATTTCGAGAACGAACTCCTCCCGCGATTCAACCTGACGAACACGGTCCCGGTCATCGATTTGAAGTCACTAGAGAAGGATCCGGTATTGCTCCAAAGTGTCATCGCCGTCGCGCATGCTCATGCGGCTTATCGGGGTGGTGATGGAAACGGCTCGAGCCTGCAGAGGATACACAGTCGAAATCGGGCGTTAAAGGCGTTTCGCGAGCAGTTGATTTCGCCATCGGACGAGACCACCGGCAGTTTGTTCATCGCAAACGTTCTGCTTTGCATCCTGGATGGCATAATCGAGCCTGTGTGCGATAGTTCTGCTACTCATCATCATCTAGTTGGAGGCAAGGCGATATTGAAGCAGTGGGCGGGCGCTAAGAGTGTGATTCAATTAAAACATGAGCTCCCTGTGTTGATGTTGTCAATTTTTGCTACCATGGATCTTACGCATTCTTTGCTGATCGGGGATGCGCCATACTTCCAAAGCTCGAGTTGGCCTGAATTTGGGGAAACCCAATCTTGGTGGGGATCCGTCAAGTCTGACGATGACTTTCTGGAGACGATGTCTATTCTTGCACAGCTAGCTGATCACGGCGCCGCGACTCGAATGAAGACACGGACAGTTGAAATCGGGACGTTGTTTTCGATCCAAGGTGCCTTGGAACAGCAGGCGACTCGTCAAAAAGATGTCGAAAAACACACTGGTCATGCTGCATGGGCTGCATTCTGCGCTGTATACCGATATGCTGCTTTTGTATACCTCTACCGTGCTTTGAGCAGCCTTGATGTTGATCACGATCTCGTGCAGTTGGCTGTGTCGGGTTGTATCGATATCATTGCTGGCAGGGAGCTCCCTGATACGCTTCAACACTGCATCCTCTTCCCTCTTCTCGTCGTGGCTTCGCATTGTATTGTTCCAGAGCAACGAAAGGTGATACGCAAAAGCCTTGAGACATCGTCAGTCTATCTTTCTTTCGAGAGTCTAAGGTCGCTCGAAGGATTCTTGGAGCGTCGGTGGTCACTGTTAGACAACTCCCCAGTAACTGTGCAGTTGACCTGGTGGGAATATTTCGAAGAAATTGCGAATGTGTCCTGTCTGTTCTAAACTCCTGAGCGGCTGGGGAAGTGGAAGATGAAGACCTCCTTCGCGACGAGTACTATGGCTATGACCTTACAAGAAGCTCCAGGTACTGGAGTCTGTGTGTTATAGCTTGAAACCAAGCAACAGTGGATTGTCCGAGTCAAGAAAATGGCCAAGATTGACGACCATAGCCCGCAAGACTCCGAAGAATGGAGTTTCAAAAATCACGGTGTGCGCAACGGATGCATACGATGTTTTCCTACATATTCAAATGGGATCACACGTGGTTATATCCATGGCTTATGATGAATCCATACAAAACCCGAAATCCGGCAAAGACGTTGCTACGAGTCTCGATTGAGCAGTCCGGAGGACCATCAACATTCCGTGAGGGGGCGATTATATGACGCCAACGCTGAGCCTCTTACAAATTACGGCATATCTGGCACAGCACATCTACGAATCCGGAGCTCTTCTACCCCGCAAAACGGCATTCAAAGCTCCTGTTGTTTTGTTCCAAAGTGTTTCGCAGGTCGCTCAGCCGCCGATGTTTGCCATGTTTGCTAAATGCCGATTTTGGCCTTATCGTTCCCCCTTTTGGGAAAGCGGGGGCGCTCCACCATTCATCCAGTGATTGCTCGCTAAGCCAATTTGCGATAAGACAACCTCGTCGTACAGGTTTCATACAAAACGACTTCTTCGCCAGATAAGAGACGCTCGTATGTAAACGCGACGGTCTTTTCCTCTGCATACTCCCCTACCTCTCGATATATCTGGCACTTGTTTCCAACCTCACCTCTATTCAAACAATCACGTGAGCAGCGATGTCCTCCTCAGCTGTTCTCAAGGCTTGGGAGGCATGTGACTTGACTGATACAGCTTTCGTGTTGGTTTGTACAGTGTTTTGTTGGCCAATTATACCAGCGGTCGGTCTTGCTTACAGTGGCTATTCTCATCGCCGAAATGGAATGTCTGCGTTTATACCGTCGCTTTTGGTCATTGGTTGCTGTACCATTCAATGGTTCTTCGTTGGCTACTCGCTTGCTTATGGCGACGGATCAGCTGTGATTGGAGATCTCAAGCATTTCATGCACAAAGGTGTTCTAGCTGAGCCGGTTGGAACGATTCCAGCAATCCTGTTCAGTGAATTTCAACTCATCTTTTGCGCAACCGTTTGCGCAATTAGTGTTGGAGGAGCCTGTGAGCGAGGACGCGTGGTTTCCTTGATACCTTTTATATTTGTGAGTCCGCTTATTTCACCTACGAGCACATGACTAACGGCCTTTAAGCTTTGGGCCACGTTTATTTACTGTCCTCTCGCTCATATGGTTTGGTCAGAAAATGGATATCTGGGGAAGATAGGTGTACTTGACTTTGCTGGAGGAACTCCTGTGCATATATGCAGTGGAGCTACAGCTTCGGCAATTTCCATATATCTCTCGTATCCTATCTTCCGCTCTCGAAAGTCTTCTGTTCGCCATCCAGCTCATTTGAAGCTTCACCGACCCGGCAACTCGTTATCCCAGTTGATTGCTTTGGTTATTATTTGGAACTCATGGTTGGCCTTTGATGCTGGAACGACACTCAGTCTGAACTTTAAGTCAATCATGGCTCTATGTGTTACCAATCTTTGTGCATCTGGCGGTGCCATGACGTGGGCGCTGATGACTTATTTAGAGACTGGTAAATGGTCACTCGACTCGACTTTTATGGGCGCAATTGCTGGACTTGTCATGATCACCCCAGCGGCAGGTTTCATTGACATGCCCACATCTTTCTGCTTTGGTGTTGCGGGTGCCATTATATGTCGCCAAGCTCTTCGGATCAAATCTACAAAATTTGCAGCTCGACTCCGCTGGGTTGACAATGGAGACACTTTTGCGACACACTGTGTTGGTGGAATTGTCGGTACAGTAGCAACTGGTCTATTTGCGCGGAAAGAAGTCGCTGCGTATGATGGGGCCACCTTTATCGATGGCGGAGTATTCTTTGATGGTAATGTTCGACAACTTGGAATACAGCTGTTGGAGGCGTTCATCGGGTTTACTTGGTCTTTTGTGGGCAGCTTTGTGATAATTGCGCTGATCGACTGCGTTCCTGGGTTTGAGGTCTTGGCTACGGACGAGTATGTATTCCCCGTCGTTCCATTTATGATATATTCGCTGACACGTATACAGTGATATTGTTTCTGGGATGGATGTAGCAGAGATGGAAGAGTCATTCGATGCTTTACCAGAAGACGACTACCACCCTTTTAAGAACGGAGATATCTCGCTGGAGTAGATCTTGATGCTATCACATAACCCCCAAAAGCTTTAATGGCACAGTATATCGATCTAATCATAATATATATAATCATATCTACACTCTCAATTCTTTCCAGCAGTCTTTCCCTTACGAGTAGCTCGTCGAAGGAACCGGCTTCTTCGACTGGCGCTCTCCCAGATTGACCATTTGCCTTCAAACATCTTGGCTCTTCAGCAGCCCGTACTCCAATTTCTTCAGCAGCATGCCATTTCCCCCTTTTCGATTCCAAAAATTAAGCCATTGTTGGATTTATGTTGGAATTGCCGTGGGGGTAAATGGTTTGAGGTAGTATTTTCACGTGATTGATGCACGCTAAGCCCTAACCAGCAGCTCCACGGGACACTGGGACTGGACACTCCCGCCCGCAAAGCACGCACAGACGCCACCAACAAGCTTCACCCTTTTAGAGCACCGGGAGCCAATACATGTCGAGTAAACATTTCCTGACTGGCTCGCGCTGATTACCCCAATTTCAATCGAGTATTGATATCCTGCGAGTCAAAGGCGGATCTGGGGTCAACCTGAACACCAGTCGACCGCCCAAATCACTCGACTTTCACTCTAATGTTGTCTTGGATACCAAGTCAGACATGTGGAAAAGGAAGATGGTAAAGCATCATCAGTACATTGTACCTGCGTTGCTCAATGCAAGCAAGCTTCTGATTATGTGGGAGGAACAATGCGGTTGTCGACTCCAGCACGGTATGGCATGACCGAATCCGTGGAACTTACCCCTCCTGTGCCCCCTAACAACCCGAAGCTTCTCACTCGTCAGAACCTTCATATGGGCTGGGTCGCGATAACGAGATAGGGCCTGTCGAGTTGACAAAAGTACTCGATATGTACGTGCTGATAAGGATGTGTGTGTGTGTGTGTGCCATTGTGTTGGATAGATACAACTAATGCTTGCATATTATCTTGTTGGTGGACTTCATCCCATTTATACTTCTTGCTGCGTTGCGCTTTTGTCTTCTTTAAGTGTGGTTTTCCTCCTAGATTTGCTGTTACCATTGTTACTGTCTGTTGTTTCAAGCTGGTTGCGACGACGAGTTGCACGACGTTCACCAGAAGCCGGCTGAAAGATTGCAAAATCCCATTTGGACATCACGTGGAGTTACTTCAGTTACCCCAGGATTCAGCTTCGACGTATCTATTTTTACATTTCTCTGCCCTGGTAACGAAGTCGTGACAAGAAGCATCGTGATTGAGAAGTGGTCGCGTCGGTGGGCTTCAGTCCTCACTACCAAGGTCATCGACATCTCAACTCCCTTCCCTCACCTTTATTCAAGATGGGTCTCGAAGCGGATGAAAAGGCTATGGGCCCTTCATCTGCAGAAATGAATGGAAACGGAGTCAGCGACAATGGAAACACAGTCGGTACTGTCACAGATCTAACGGCTCTCACGACACTTGGTTATACTCCTGAGTTGAAGCGAAATCGATCTTTATATACACTACTCTTCCAGACTCTTGCTATCGCCGCGATTCCTTACGGAGAAGGTGGTCCTCTTATCAGCGCTATTTACGGAGGTGGCCAATTATCAATCTTTCTCGGTTGGATTGTTGTCTTGATCCTCGACGAATGTGTTGCTCTTTCTCTCGCTGAGCTCGCGTCACGTTATCCAACCTCAGCAGGTCCATACTACTGGTCTTTCCAAATCGCCAAAAACCACAAGACGGTTTTATCTTTCATCACAGGATGGATCTGGCTTATTGGCAACTGGACTATCACACTCTCGGTCAATTTCGGCTTCGCAGCACTTCTCACGGCAACGGTAGCAATCTATCATCCAGACTTTGCACCAACGGCATGGCAATCACTGCTCATCTTCTACTTAATATGCATCTGCGCATTCCTCATATGTGCATTTTGCAACAAGTTCCTCCCAATGGTTGATACCATCTGCGCAGCCTGGACCGCCGTCTCCATCTTCATCATCCTCGTCGCCCTCTCCGCCAAAGCAGATGTCGGCCGCCACAGCGCATCCTACACTCTGGGCCACTATGATACCTCCCTCTCCGGCTGGGGTGGCTTCACATTTTTCATCGGTCTCCTCCCCGCCGCTTACACCTTCAGCGCCATCGGCATGATCGCCAGCATGGCCGAAGAAGTCTCCTCGCCCGCAACCGTCGTCCCTAAAGCCCTCGCCCTCTGCGTCCCCGTAGGCGGTATCGCAGGACTCTTCTTTATCATCCCGATCTGCGCTACCATGCCCCCATTAGAAGAAATCATCCTCGCACCCTCCGGCCAAGCTCTCCCCTACATTTTCCACATGGTCATGGGCACCCCCGGCGGCGGCCTCGGTCTCACGTTCCTTGTCCTAGGCGTCACGGCTTTCTGCTCCATCAGCATCACCGTCGCAGCATCAAGATGTACATGGGCATTTGCGCGTGACCAAGCAATCCCCGGTTCGAAACTCTTCGGCACTGTCAACCACTCTCTCGGCGTCCCTGTGAATGCCCTCGGCCTCGTCACAATCGTACAAATGCTCCTAGGTCTCATCAACCTCGGTTCCACATCCGCGTTCACTGCATTCGTCAGCGTAGGCGTCATTGGTCTCGCAGTCAGCTACGCGATCCCCATCGCGATCTCTCTATTGTGGGATCGCAGAGTCGCTGTCAATAGCGCGAAATGGAATGTAGGTAACCTGGTCGGCACGATTGCGAATGTGGTTGCGTTGTGCTGGATTACATTCGAGGTGGTGTTGTTTAGTATGCCGACTGTATTGCCGGTTACTAGTATTTCCATGAGTAAGTGCTTCCTCACCCCCAACAATCATAGCAAGTGGAAATCTGATTGGGGGATAGATTATGCTAGTGTGGTATTAGTTGGGTTTGGGGTTCTTGCGGGGGCTTGGTATGGGATATATGCTAGGAAAGGTTTGTTGTATTCTCTACTATTGTGTTTTGGATAATGCTGACTTGGTGTATAGTATATAAGGGTCCGCCAGCATCTGATGGTCTCTCCTAGAATACAAAGCGTTATTCAGCTCGAAACTTGGCCAGATTCAGAATCAACATTTGGAGTACGGTTATATAGTTTTACTTCAGAATTGGAAATTTCATCTTGAACTCCCTCTTGCATTCGTCGTTTTAGATCAACCATCTGACTATCACATCTGCCGCATGTAACTCTGCTTGTGTGCTAAAACAACTTTTTGAATCTGGTTGTGTAGTTGTAATTCGAAGTTCTCATCTCGAATCCTCATTTTCAATCTACGATCCGTTCATCACATCTTCCTTTTCTCACGTCACTAGCATCTTCCAAGACTGACGGACGATACTTTCTGCAAATCCGTCATGTTCAGAAAACACCTCTTAATTCATGTCATTGCAGCCATATCCGGCCTAATCGGTAGACACTGCTCCTGCAAAAATATCTCGTCTAGTATAAAACACAACGTGCCTCAAGCCTCTTTGCCATATAAGCATGTGACGGTAGGTCGTTATAAATAGACGAGACTAACAATAATTTTAATAAAACTAATATTATAATTATTCAGTATAAATAATATAGTGTCGCGAGTGTGCTATTCATATACTTAAAAAAGTAAATAGGTAATTGTAATAAAAGAGAGAAATGTCGAGTAGTTATATAATAATTCTCTCTATATATCCTTTTAAATACTCCGCTAATTAGTATTAGCCGATGCAGTAAATCCGGATTTCTTTATGCCTAGCACGAAGATGTTATTTAGTGATACAAAGGACTCGTATAATGCTATTAAGGGTGCTCTTGAGACTCGGAGCAAAGTGCATGAGGTGTGAGCATTTGCATTTATATTACGCATTGTTTAGGGATTACATAGAATTTCGCATTGCTTACGTAGGGTTTAAGATAACTCCGAGAAGAAAGCCATATTAGCTTGTGCTTCAGAAGAGGTTATGATTCTGCATCCGGTATTCCAGGGACTATGGACTTTTGCTATTGTGCTGATGATGTTGAACTTCCATCTGGCATCGGAGTTTGGGTTTGGGCGACTGGGAGAATTGATCCCTGACCATTTGTATTGTACTCTCTTTGCTGGCCCATATCAATGATCATTCTATTTCGAGCAACATGGGCCATTACTTCTGCAGAAGTTCCGGCTTCTTTCCTATGCGCCTACCATATATACGTAACATAAAACGTCATGGCGCTTGTGTATCATTGAACATTAATCTACTACTGTGCGAGTAGGTTTAATCCCTTCATAGTGATACGAGAGTTTTGGTATTAGTCTTTCATCAATTGATTCGGATTTCTGATGCACTTTTCACACACGATATTACGAGATGGACTGTGCTTGATTCGCTTTCTCTAGTTATGCTTCCGCTAGTGTGCTGGGATTCTTGCACAAATGGCATGCGATGAATTAAAGTCTCTCTTGCAAGACAAAAAAGCCCCATAGGTCACAAGTGAGATAAGCATGACTGCAGCTGAAGAATGTCGCTTACAGTTATTTGCGGGACTTGAACTTCATACGGACCATTGCATCGGCATTTTATAAACTCCACTTATGTTGTTGGCCTTTTATGCACTCCCCATTGCTGTATGCTAAAAGTATAGGTGATGGAATTGGTGAATGTTTCCCCGTTTGTAGATTGAGAAGGGCAACACACATACCATCCTGGTTCGGCTTCGGACACCAGTGCTAGCCGATGTTGGCTTTCTACTCATTGGATCAATTACGATTTGCAAAATTATGAAGTGACCAAGCTTATGGGAGCTGAGTAGGTGGAAATATAGTCTGCGTCCGATTGTTAATGTTTTCATTCCGACTCTTCCTGCCGGGCTACTTAATGTAGTGATGTTCTCCTTTGTCAAGACACGGACTACGCTCCAACATGGTCAATCACGTCTTCATTTTAGCGCCCGCGAGCTGTTCATGCTGGTTTGAATAATGCATGCATGCTATGCATGGGTACCGGTAGCCTGATCTATGCTCACCCCCTGTAAAAAATCATCTTTGCATCAAAAGGTCCATGTTATGTTGGTATGTTCACGTAATTCTAGAAAATTGCTCATTATATTTTGTTTGAATACATATCTGAGAAGTATTACCTCTTTTCGTTCTAAGGATATCGTGGTTTATGTGAAATTCTCTCAACTCTTCAAATATGTTGGCCAAGTCTATCCGCGAGGTCTCCTATCACAATGAAACTCCTAGAGATGAGGAACAGCCTCGAAGGCTTGCCTGCGATCGCTGTCGTAAACAGAAATTGCGCTGCACTCGAGATCGAATGGACAGCGAGTCTTGCCACCGTTGCTCTAGAGCAAACCTTGAGTGTATGGACCGCCCACCAATGCAAATGGGTAGACGCAATAAGCATGGAATATCAGACGAGCTGGCCACAAATTACAATCGTAGGCACAAGAAGCAGAGATCTGAGAGTACAGAAGCAAGCGTATCATCCACGGCTGACTCTGATGATGAGTTGGGTGGCCTAGACCAGACAGAACAACAGCTTGGTGACCAAGACCTAACCGCTGTAGAGCCGTCTATGGTACAAAATACCAACGTGGTCGAGTGGTCAGATCTTTCAAACCTTCACGTTCTTCGTGCTGGGTATAACATGGATTCTACGTCACCTACGGCTCCCAAGTTCACGCAAACCCCTATTAATATGGAGGCACATCCAGACGAGACCTACATTGCCCAAAGTTTAAGACCTTCTGAAGGGATTGACAACTTGATACCGGGTAATGTTGCGGGGCTCTTTGATTTAACCATGTCCTGGGATTATGCAATACAGTTAGACGAATGTGCTATCACGTCGCACAAATTTTCTCAACCATATCCTCCTCAAATATCAGCGTCGAATGATCCGAAGAGTCCTCAAATAGGAAACAAACAGGTCACCTCTGAGGACCCAAAACCATACACTACCCGATCCCTTGAGCACGCCTCGAACAACCATCAAGTATCAGTCTTCGCAGATGAGCCGCATACCGAGGAAGAATGCGTTCAGATGCTGTGGTCTCTCAACTCGAAAATGTCAAAGCAACTTCAAGAAATTACTTCGGGCCTTCAGAAAAATACCGCCATTCCCAACACATACTCTGATAGTCATGGTCGCACGGGACCCACCAATCTCACCTCGATTGGTGATGTCTTGACTAGTTCTGAGAACTTCTTGGACATCCTGAGATTGCTCATGAAGACTTCTAATACAGCTTCTCAAGAAAACCTGCATTCGCCATCAACAGTCGATGACTACTTTTCCTTTCGATCTGGGAAGTACAATGGGGATGGTTTAGCCAGACCAATAGTCAGCCACAGCCCCGCTGCAGAAATCCCTCGAGATCCACAAATAGACACTCCTACAATCCTTTTGATTTTGACATGTCATATTCGACTCATCAGACTTTACAGCCATCTGTTCTCCGGAATACTCTCCTCTCTACCGGACAATCCGTCAACCGCTTCTGAGCCCCTACCCATCGCTCGGGACCTAAAGATTGGTGACTTTCAATTGAAGAAGTACGGAGGCCTGCAAATCCTCATTGTACTGAAAATTGGCACTCACTTGCTCCACCAGGTTGAAAATCTGTTAGAACTTCCTAATGAGTACATGGTAAGTGGGAGAGAGAATGGCAGCTGTGTTTTCAGGAAGCCAGTCTCGAAGAAGTTGATAGAATCAATTATGGCACATGAGGAATCCAAAAATTGCTTTGTTGGCAAAGGAGTCGTGGAATCACTCAGACAGAGTATAAAGGGTATCAAGCAGGCTCTGAAAGACGGCTGAATATGGGGTGGAGGTTTTGTACCTGCGAGATTAGGACATTAGCGGCAATCTAAATTTTTACCAATGATATAGCTGGTCAATGGATGCAATATCTGCTCTGACAGATTTTCATCTCGTATGAAGCCATTCGGGCACAGACTTTTATCATGATAACGAATTTTATTCGGTTCAAGCGATTGGAATTAAAACCGTTGGTCAGTAGGGCCATTTTGGGTCTCGGAATATGACTTTTATCGTCTCTTCATGGATGATGTAAAGCTGGAATGGCTTGCTCAGTTTGGTGTGTGCAACTTTACATATATGTTGTGGTTCGCTTACTGTAAACTGAAAACAAAATTGTAATCACAAGCTCGGGGATTTCATGCCACAGGCCATTCCCACATGTACGATACATGGCATAATGTTAATAATAGTACAATACCATTGCCAGTTATTTTTATTACAATGTGGTTTCGTTCTTTTTCTATGTTTTTCGTAACACCTTTAAATACACTGTAGTATCCCCAAATAGAAGCACATTAGGGACTAAGTGACGTACGCATCCATTATTTGGTCAGGTCCGTTCTCTTAACCAAGAACACTTCGTCCAAAAATTGGAATGTTCGCTCCTGTGACAGCCCATAGGCACCAACCTTTGCCTGCAATCCGCCGTCTCCAGGTGCCTTAGCAACCCATTTTTGTACGTTTCTTCCCTTCGAGTTGTTTAATGTCGCAAAAATCATGTCCGTACTGATCTCTGGCTTGGTATAGATTGTGTGAGCGGCCCCTGTTACTAGAACAGGGCACTTAACATGATCTAGAAACTCGCCACCATCTTTCAGACGAAGAGTATATTGTTGCATCTCACGCATACCTAAAGCAGCTGATGGAAGTCCAAATATCCACATGACATGCGTCAACTCCCATTTCAACTGATATGAGAATCGTGAGAGAAACCTCCAGGTCTGATTGAAGAAATTATCGCTTAACCAGCCTGACAACCAAGCCTTGATGAAAGCCGGTGGCATGCGTGTGGTAGCGAGGTCAAAAAGATCATAGAAGGGATCAACAGACACACAAGCTTTGACTCGTACGTCAGAAGCTCCTCGAAGCGCATAGTATGCGCCCATTGATGCGCCTGCAATGGCAATTCTGTCGAGATCAAGCTCAATGGCAGGATTCCTTAAAGAGAACTCTTGAAGGTAGTCCAAAACACTGCTGGTAACCACTTCCCAATCAGGACGCATTCGAAGTTTGTCTCGGCGAAGAACGATCCCTTGTCCAGGTCCTTCAAATGTAATCACAGCGTAGCCACGTACAGGACCTCCTGATGGATAAATGTAATACAGCTCTTCTTGAATTGAATCGGCACCCCCGCAATTGATTAAGATAGGAATCTTTCCAGGCAGTCGTTTTGATAATGGCGGAAGATAAAGATAGCCTGGTAGTTTGTGTCCCTCGTATGGAATCTCAAGCACATGAACATCGATATCCATGAGTTTAATACTATGGCGAAAATTCGAAATGCTTCTGTTGGCGATGGGGATTATGCGAGAATCCGGAGACTCTGGACGATCGTTGAACATGTATTGACTGGCTCGAAAGTAGTTTGACGCCCGTAGATATGCACTTCTCGCAGCGATAACATCGCCATTTCTTGCAGCTTCCACAGCATGCAGCTCTGCTTTCTCTCCCTGCTTATACCAAGCACGATACCAGCTTTCAGGATCTTCATCTGTTATCTCTACTGCCACGTCAAGGCACTCGGAGATTTCGGCTCCATTATAAGGTGCCGTCCCCAACAAACGCACAAATTCGAAGTTGAAGAACTCCGACTTGAAGAATTGAAACATGCTGAAAGCCTAAAAGAAAATGAATCGGCTAGTAAGTGGGTTTAGGATCGCTATGCTAACAGGTCTGGTGACAGTCGGTGAAGACTGTTAGATATATGTAGTACACATCGGTGACATTCATGTCCGAAAGATTCGGTATCCAAGGTCGCGTGCGCGCGCTGGCTAGGCTAATTTGGAATAGTTTATATGCCGGTATGCAATATACTTGAATATCACAAGGTACACCGAAAGACGGACCAGGACGGTCTGTAACCACTCTCCTGCTGAACGAACCTAATATCTTCCTGTACCTAGGAATTTGTTTCTGCGACTTTTGTATTGCCACTATTGTAATAAGGCTCAAATCATTGAGCACGTAATCATGAGTGCAAATAACAAATATTCAACATGATCTTTCAATGGTGCACTTGAAAGAGATGTTATCGTGGTAAAAAAATACATCTAATCATGTCATTTTGTATACAAGAGTCTGCTGGTCTAAGATTTGTGTAAAATTCCCTATCTAGTGGTGCTAATGTAAGTCAAAGAGCTAAACAGGTTTCTCAGAATCAAGGGTAATCACTCTCGTAGCCGATATACCAGTTTCTTTCCTCGTACTTTCCCCTCTCTCAACATATTGATGCCTTCTAAGATTTCCGTAAAGCTTCCGGGGCAAACCTTCACGGGATGTGGTCTTATGAGACCTTCGTTCCATAACCTTTGTGCACTTTGAAACCACTTTTTTCCTAGTACCCTGTGACCCGGATTTGATGGTCTTTCATACCCGCCACTTAACTTTAACTCTTTGCCGAAAATGGAGATTCCCATAACCCAATTTGGAGTAACTAATCTCCGCATGCCGGAATGATCTGGTAGTAACTCTAATCCCGTGTATTTCCCACCTCTGCGACCAATTGCACTGTAGCAAAAGTCCATGGAAGATTTGTTGGTGATAATATCAAGGGCGTACTTCAGGTTGTTCTGGGTGTAACTACGAATTTTGGCTGCACAATCTGGAGCACTATAGTCGAACGCTATCTCAGCTCCATAAGATTTCACGAGAGCGAAGCTTTGAGTCGAACAGACTGCTATAGGCCTTAAGCCACACCTGAATGATACAATCTTGTGTTAGAAATAGTTTGGAGTTAAAGATAATAAGATAAAATTCGAATAAAATATCGAACCGACTTGAAGAGGATGACCTACGTCTTTAAAATTTGAATGGCCATAGTTCCAGTGGCAGTGCCACCTCCATAGACTAGTACTGGCAACGAGTTCGTCTTGTTGGCGGGGTTTTCACAATCGAACGGTATCCCTAGAAAGTCCCAAAACGCCAATCCCAATGTCCCCAGTGAGACTCCTCCAACTGCGGCGCCTTCTTCCCAACTCACGCCGTCAGGAATCTTCAGAAGGATATCAGCTGTTGCACATACATACTCAGCAAAAGAGCCTGAGAGGTGATTTGCTGGATCCGACCCATGCACAGCCCCACACACTCTGTCACCTATTTGAAAGTCCTGAGTAACCGCCGCGCCAATAGCTATGATTGTTCCCGCAAAATCGCAACCATCAATTGCTCCAACCGTTGGAAAATTGTCTGGCATTTTGTAATCACATGGATTCAGTGCAACAGCAACATTGTGAACCAAAATCTGATCTTCACCAAGAGTGGGAAGGGGAACATCGTGGCTGACGCAAAGGTGTGTCCCTGCCGTAGTGGACGCAGTTACGATCGCGTTTTGCTTTATAGGGAGTGCAGGCTGAAATTCCATAACTAAAGACTTCTGTTTTCAGACTTGAAGGTGAATAAGTTAAACATTTAAATATCTTGTATTATTTATTTAACATTATAACGTTAATGCTTCCCTGTCTTCGTTAGCGAGCCTCAGAATCTCCTGTTAAGCTCAGAATCAGGGAATATGAATTCAACTCTTAATTTTCTCATTCCGAAGTTCCGAGTATGATCTTTGTTGTTACATCGAGATCTGACGCGCGTTCTTACCGCTTATTGTAAGACTCCTCTACACGGAGCAGGTTACCCTAAGAACTTGATCAGAAGTCCGCTCACATGCAGCTTAATAAGTCCGATTGTACATGTGTCCGAAGTTCAGTGTCATTTGTAATGCAGCCCAAGAAGTCCGGTCGTACATGTGTCTGATATTCCCGGACACTTGTTCTTCAAGACCGAGTGGATTGTTTCAGCTGCCACGTTGGGCAAGAAGTTTATTTCTTATAATCACAATCATGGCTTTCACAGATCTACATACTGACTTACGAGACAAAAAGGCGTAGAGTCTTATAGCGCTTACTGCTTCAGATATTTCTGTTAATTGTGGCCAGCTGCAAAAACCAAACAATGTCTTTACTAGCGAGGACTGGGAGCTTTGAACTCGGTGGCCAAGGCCTTCAGTTACTGCGAGTCATCCCACTTGCTACATCGAGCGCGTTGTAAGACCAAGTGATCGTTAAAATGCTACAAGTCCAAATAGCTAACTAAAGATTAGGATGATGTGCCATCTTGATCAGATCTTTCTCTTCAGAAGCTTCCTTTGCTATCCCACAACCACTCAAGCAGGGTTTGCCCTTTCCCACTGTTTTAACCAATACACCGCGTCCGCTCTTCCAATTGTTGTTGCGCTGGAGCTTACATCTTACACAACGCTTGGGGCCAATCTCCTGGTAAAGTCCCCGGATTTGGGAGATTCTCTGGCTTGGGGAATGTATGCATTCAGTCTCGGTTGCTTAAGTCTGCATGCTTTGAATGCTCCTCGTATGTGGAGCATCATGAAAATCGTCTCTAACGAAAGGACACCAGCTGAGAGCAAACTCCTGACATTAAGGACTTTCCTCAGACGGAGTTGGCTTAGAGTAGTATTGACGGACATACCTGCTATTTTGGCACTTTTGTGTGCGGTGTTTGCAGTTGGTAGAGAATGAGACGAGGTCGTGAATGTTGAAAATCATGATCAGGATAATATCCCAAACATCAAATTCAATGGACTTGCTTGAATATTTTCGTCCTTTCACGGTCTGGGTTTCTTATTTGTTGATATAAACAACAAGCGTCTTGCGCTACGCGAACGATTCTCGTAATCTTATATCCGCCATGATTAGACAGTAGTCAATCTTCATGGGATTCTGAGAGGTGTCGGCCAGTGTTTGAAACCAAAGAAGCAATTTTTTCCTTTTTTCTCCTTTTGAGAAGTAGAAAATTTATCAAATTACAATGAATGTTTTTACAAGTTTAAAGTTAGATGTTGTACTGAAGTATGTTACAAGCAAAGTACCCACAAGGAAGTAACAGAAGTTTTCCCATTTAATTCCAACGGATCCCTCAGCTCACAGCATCTACAGATTTGGACTTTTCTTTTTTCTCCAATCCGTACTCGGTATCGAGTTCTTCCCTGAGCTTGATCTCCTTTTCTAGGAAAGAGAGAAGGAATGCTAACCCAACAATGCCAATAGCAACTTGCCACACAACCTTCAGACTGTCAGTAAAGACACTCAAAACCTCGTCTCTAAGGCTGCCTTGAAACGAGTTTATGAAGTCCTTCGAGGCGTGAGCATATGCATTCCCTCCGCTCATCTGAGCTCTCACAGACAGGTCTGTAATGCGACTTGCATATTTGCTGGCATAGGTATTGAATATCGCGGCGGGAATCGAAACACCCCAGATTGACCCGAAGCTTCGAATAAAAGCCCAAGTTGCAGTTGCAAGTGCCGTGTCACTCTCAGGCAATGGCGCTTGGACAGCTGGGAGGAGGGTGGTCAATATCAATCCCGAGCCTCCACCAACAACAATCTGGAGTATAACATATACTGCTAAAGATGAATTTGCATCAAGAGTTGTGAAGCAGCCAATTCCGATGGTCATAATAGCAAAGCCGGCGATGTGCAGTGGCTTATATCTTCCAAATTTAGCAAGGAGTAGTCCACTGATCAGGCCAAAAGGTACAAGCGATGTAACTGTAGGGAGAAGCAGTACTCCGGATCTTGTAGGTGATGCCGCGATGACAGATTGGAAATATACCGGCAAAAAGTAAACAACCCAAAAAGTGAACATTGTATGCACAAACGTGAGTCCAAGAGCGGTGGCCGAAGTCCGGTTACTGAAAAGTCTCATCGGTACTACTGGTTCAGTTGCCCATGTTTCGTATACTTGAAAGCCAACAAGTCCAAGCAGACCAATAACCAAAGGGACAATAACGTGCCAGTCACCCCACCCATAACGAGTACCTCCAGTTGATAGAGCTATCAAGACTGAGGTGACAGATGCTATAAGGATAGCATTGCCGAGAAAGTCTACTCTCTTAATCTTGACTGAAAATGACGATTTATCCTCATAGCTTTCGGGTAGGAATAACAGAAGCAGTATGAGCGCCGCACCAGCGATTGGAAGATTCAAATAGAACACCCAACGCCAAGTTGTGTTCTGGACGATGGCGCCACCGATAAAGGGTCCGAGTGAAGTTCCAATAGCAAAGACACCAAATATAATACCCATGAAGTTGCCGCGCTCACGCAGAGGCACCAGGTCGCACACTATCAGATCAATGAGCATGTTGATGCCGCCTCCTCCGACTCCTTGGACTGCGCGTCCGCCAATAAGCATTGCAGTAGTAGTAGCTCCACCACTAATACCGCTGCCAAGCGCAAACATCGCAACGACTGATATCATCAACCATTTTCTTCCGAAGATATCTGCAACTTGGCCGAATAGTGGCAGAACAGCAGTGCTAAGCGAGCCGTGTCAGCGATTGTCTTTCTTTTGAATTCATCAAAAGGAGTAAAGTGACATACCTTGTCAAAAAATACACGTTAACAAACCAGATGTACTGCTCACCAGCTTCAAGATCCTTGGCGATGGTTGGCAGTGCGGTTGAAGTCACGGTACCCTCGAGTGCGGCTAGCAGCCCGGTGACACTCAAAGACACAAAGACTGCCCAAAATCGCCACGGATATTTCTTTGGACCTGAAGTGTTCTTTTGAGTGCTGACAGTTGCAGGAGCTCCCGAGTCAACCTTATCTGTGACCGGAGAGTCAACATTGCCGTCCTTAGTAGGAGCAGAAAGTGAGCGGGTCTCCTCGCTTGGTGCCATATCTGCTTGCAGTGATGTTTACTGGCTTTGCACAGAGACAATAATTTGTTGGAGCCGTGAAATATAAAGAGGGTTGTTGAATTGTTGGGGCTTGCGATATAGCTTGCGATATAGCATTAGAAGGATCGAGGATGTATTTCTGTAATAAGGTAGCAATGATGTCTCAAAAGTCCGTCCGTAGACTGTAAAGAGAAGAGAGACAATGACAAAAAGTTGAGATATGAAAGGATACAATTGAAGCTGTAAAATTAAAACAAGATTGGCTGGCGTTGTCGAAGACACCGAATTCGGTGTCTGAAGTCGGTGTCTTCACATACTCGGTGTGTTGGTCGAATCTTACACTCCAAATGCTTGCCCTGCAGATCATGTAAGGAATGAATTATTTACGTTCCATCCAAAAACATGTACCATGTGTAAGAAAACGGGTCGGCACGGAGATGAGCCACAGGAAGCTGTGCTGTTTTCATGCGACTGTTTGGACATAATGGTATTGCGCCAAGAACCATGAAAATTGAGAGCCCTACCAACACCCTTGTTATTCCAACATAAATCGTAAGCACACTGCAGCAGCTTTCTCGTGATCATTCACGCATCGAGGCCCCTAACTGCCAGATGAATTGACGCTGACACACGAATCTTCGAAAATAAGGCAATCAGTGCGATCAAGGTGTGGTTAATACAAATCCATACAGTTACTAACAACAGAAAACAACAATGCCAAAACAGCCACTTAAACACCGAACTGCATGCGTTCGTTGTCATTCGCAAAAGCTTCGGTGTCCTGGACGGCGGGCTGCAGAACAAAGCTGTTCCAGGTGTCACAAGGTCGGTGCAGAATGCACATTTGGCATCTCAATGCGTGGCTTACGAACACCTTCTTCATCGCGGGTTGATCTAAGGACTGCAGACGATATGGATAGAGATGTTGTGAGCCGTAGAAAGAGCCACGGAAGAGCTGCGCATACCACGACTCTTGAAGACGGAGACGATGTAAGAGACCAAGACATTCGTGTCACTGATGGCTGTTCTGAATTTAGATACGACCAGACTCGAGGTAAGATATACAGCCAGTTTGTAGGGTCTGTACAGAACTCTGCAGTGATATTGACTTTATCATAGTTCATCAACCACAGGAAGAGACATTTGAGGATATCGTCAACGACTGGAACGGCAATCCAAACGGCTCATTCTCTGAAAATGATGCACTGGCTGCCTACATATTGCCTGGAACGGATTATGGCGGTATAAACATGGCGTATCAAGAACCATTTTCTCGAACTCAGCCAGATACAGTACCTTCTATCCTTGACCATGGCCCAGCTCCGAACGATACGCATTCTCGTGACACGTTGAATCATCTGGCCAGTAAGCCGAACTATACATGTATATTCCAGCCGCCCAAGAATGTTCACGAGTGTATGAAAAACCTTTCGAAACTCAGTCTGGACCTATATGAGCATTCCATCATCATTCCTCCACTTTCAACGCACCCTGACACCTCTTCTGCGGAATCGGGCGCGGACACAAGGAGTGATGTTGAAACTGCAACTAAGATTATACAGAACCAATACCCAGCGAATCATGAAGCTCAGGAAACCGAAGAATTCCCTATCGACGATACTTTCCACCTGACTACCGCTCTTCTGGACATCGTCTGCTATCTAAATGAATTCCGGACTGACGTTTCACACATAACCACCGAAACAGCAGGAAATTCGTCCAACAAGCGTCCGCAGCCTAACAAAATCGTTTCCTGGGAGGACGTCGTCGAAACACGAGGTGATGCGAGGCAAGGTGTTTGCGACCGCACTGTCGATAAAGCGACCGTCATGCTTGTCATTTCTTGTTACACGCGGCTGATGGATGTTTACGAATGCCTTTTTGGCCATATAAAAGCTTGTGTGGAGAAGGCGATTCTCCCAAGAAACAATGCTGGCCAACTAGTTTCTCTGCCAGCAGTAAGAGTTGGATCCTTCCAAGTACCAACGTCAAAAGCCATACCGCTCCAAGTAATGACGCTTTTGCAACTTTCATCTAGTGTTGGAGGTAATATGAAAACCTTACTAGATAGACTGCAAACCTCGCCATGGGGCGGTACAAAAGGTATGCTGGATACAAACGAGTCAACTTTAGATATTATGTGTAAAGATGTCAAACACCGTGTCCTCGATGTATCTAGACAGATCCGTGTGACGTGGACGATCTTGTATCAATCAGGGCTACTGCAAAACAGATCCAGTTAGATAAGATACACTCATCAGTGTTCGAGATGTTGGATTGGTCGCGGGAAATAGTTTCTAGCTTTTTGAGAAATGGAACGAGTTCAACATGATCCGCACATGAAGAAGAAAGCTATTTTCTAGAAGCAACAGGTTTACGATTGACGCTTTTTTCTGTGTTGATGTTTCCAAGACATTTACTGGAGCCTAGCTCAATAGTACTTGCTTGCGAATTTATCAGACATGTCAAGGGCAGATAGTTCTGCAAAAGACTGGTACATAGATTTGCCATCTTCTCCCACATTCGTCAACCTTCCATCCTTCAAATATGTTTCCACCCATGTTAGACTGACAGTCGTGTTGTCGATGGTGATGAAGTCCATCGCATCTACGTGTAGAGCTTTAAAGTCGGCATCTCCCGAAATCGCCAACAAGTCGGCGATGCTGCGAAAATAATACTCAATGATCAAATCATGGTCATCAATCTTCCACGGAAGTCCAAGGCTAGCTGTTACTGCGCGCGTACTGGCGGTGCTGAAGGCCTGTCAATTCTCACATTAGATGGGAAAACAACATGTGAGCTAAGCTTCGTGCAACCCGCTTACCACTTGATAGCTCAAGATCCCATAACGCTCGTGGATTTTGGCAGCTTTGATTGCATGATCCCCGGCGCAAAATGCGTGGAATGCTTCCTCTGAAACACCATCTTTGCGGTAGTAGGAACCCGCCATCCGTAAAACTCGGGGTGATGTTGAGGCAGCCATATCCGATGATTGAGATGAGATATACAAAGTGGTGGGTTTAAGACATTTAGGAACGTGTCCTCGGCTGCCAACGATCCATTATTTAAACCCATACATGAATTACAGTCGATGTGCTACAGCCGGTACCATTCGGCATCAAAATGGAGGGACTCGGGATTCCGATGAGTCTTATTTTCAAAGTAGATCACACGAGACGGAACGTCCGACTGGCTCTTACAACCCCGGATGGGACAGACTTCGGAAGAGAGTGACTAATGGCCTTTCGAGCCAAAGGTTTACTTGGATATTCGCTTTATTGGCCCAAGGAGCAGGGCCCACCATGTGCAATATCCGATATCAAGTACCAATGGTAATACAGTATCTCGTTGAAGAAAGGTCATAGTCAGATCACAAATCCTAACCGAATCGAAGCGCAGTCTGTCTCCGACGCACATAATAGTCCGAGAATCCCATTGAGATGTGCTATCCCTCGTGACCCCTCGTGATCGGACTTTTACAATTGAGTCGAAGAGAGCCGTAGATTCGGACTCGTTGGGACTCTGGGATAGAGTTGTTCTGTGATACTATGGTCATATAGGATACGTAGATACGGCTCGGTCGTTTGCAAACGCCAATCTTCTCTCTATATCCACTATATCGTATTTAGTACCCTGAGACACGATCTACATTTCTTCCAAGATCATTATGGCCCAAAACGTGAACGAAGCCATCGCGGTAATCGGATCTGGCTGTCGCTTTCCTGGCAAAGCTATCTCGCCTGCCAGACTCTGGGAGCTGTTGTGCCAACCGCGCGACTTATCACAGAGGATTCCAGTTGATCGATTCAATCCAGAAGGATTCTATCATCCAGATGGATTACACCATGGAAGTAGCAATGTCCGAGACTCTTATCTTCTGTCTGAAGATTACCAACATTTCGATGCCGATTTTTTCAGCATTAAGCCCATCGAAGCCAACGCAATCGATCCCCAGCAACGTTTGCTCCTTGAGACCGTATATGAAGCAACTGAGTCTGCCGGCCTAAAGATTGAGGATATGCAAGGCAGCTCCACTGCAGTATATGTTGGTGTAATGGGAGGTGACTATAGCGACTTGATCTTGAGAGACCCTGATAGTATTCCGACATATTTCGCTACTGGGACTGCGAGAAGTATCTTATCGAACCGTATTTCGTACTTCTTCGACTGGCGCGGTCCATCGATGACGATAGATACAGCCTGCTCATCTAGTCTGGTTGCTGTTGACCAAGCGGTACAAACGTTACGAGAAGGACGTTCTCGCGTTGCGATTGCTGCAGGGGCAAATCTGATTCTTGGCCCGGAAAATTATATCGCCGAGTCGAAGCTCAAAATGCTATCGCCCAACGGACGTAGTCGAATGTGGGACATAGACGCTGATGGCTACGCACGCGGAGACGGATTTGCAGCCATCGTCTTAAAGACTCTCTCATCAGCTCTGGAAGATGGCGACCATATCGAATCTATTATTCGGGAGACGGGGGTTAATCAAGATGGAAGAACCAAAGGCATCACAATGCCAAGTGCCTCTGCCCAGGCAGACTTGATGCGTGAGACTTATAGAAGAGCTGGATTAGATCTTTCCAAAAGGAGTGACAGACCACAATTTTTTGAGGCTCATGGGACTGGTTAGTGTGCCTAACAGGATGCAGACTATATGCGAGAAAGAACTGACGATATCCAGGAACCCCAGCGGGTGATCCAATTGAGGCCGAGGCTATCAGCAGAGCTTTCTTTCCCGCCGACGACAAAAGCTCGAAGCAGTCCGATGGCCATGGTGTTCTCTACGTGGGCTCTGTGAAGACCATCATCGGTCATACCGAGGGTACTGCAGGCCTTGCCGGCCTCATCAAAGTGTCTCTCGCCCTTCAACATGGTCTGATCCCTCCCAATTTGCACTTCAATCACTTGAGTCCCAGTGTCGCGCCGTTCTATAACAACTTGGAGATTCCTATAGCGTTGAAAGCTTGGCCGGTCATACCATACGGTTGCCCTCGACGCGCAAGCTTAAATTCTTTCGGGTTCGGAGGAACTAATGCGCATGCAATTCTCGAGAGTTATAGCCCCAACTCGTTAATGTCGCTCAAAGGATCCATCCAAGCAAATCCTGTATTCATACCCTTCAACTTCTCGGCATCATCCGAGTCCTCTTTGCGAGCATCCTTAAAAGCTTATTCTGGTATCTTAAAAGAAAATGAGAGTGTAGACCTTCGAGATCTTTCAGGAACCTTGGCGTTTAAAAGAAACGCCTTTGCTGTCAAGGCATCCTTTTCAGGTTTGACTACTGATAGTCTCTGCTCGAAGATAGACTCGACTCTCAAAACCGAGGGGAGCAATATCGGAATTCGATCGGTATCCAAGTCGCCGTCAATACTTGCAGTATTTACTGGTCAGGGTGCGCAATGGGCTGGTATGGGACGGGAGCTAATCCTAGGATCTGACGCCGTGCTGCAATCCGTTGAACGGCTCGAAACGTATTTGACTGAATTGCCTATTCCTGATCGTCCATCGTGGTCTCTCAAAAAGGAACTCCTAGCAACCGCACCCGCCTCTCGTCTTTCTGAAGCATCAATTGCGCAGCCGCTGTGCACGGCTTTACAGATCATCCTCGTTGATTTATTGCGGAGCGCAGAAGTGAAATTTACAGCTGTGGTGGGTCACTCATCCGGAGAAATCGGTGCTGCATACGCTTGTGGCCATATTTCTGCTAAGCATGCAATGTATATCGCCTACTATCGAGGGTTCCATTCTCAACTTGCAACTGGGCCTGACGGAAAAAGGGGGGCAATGATGGCTGTAGCCACTTCGATGGAAGATGCTCAGGAAATGTGCGATATTCCTGACTTTGCAGGTAGGCTATCTGTCGCTGCGAGCAACTCTGCAACTAGCGTGACACTTTCGGGTGATTTCGACGCCGTCGAGGAAGCAAAGCAAATTTTTGACGAGGAGAAGAAATTTGCTAGGCTTTTGAAAGTTGATAAAGCTTATCACTCTCATCACATGCTGCCTTGCACCGAGAAATACATTGAATCCTTGCGTCGATGCGAGATTAACGTCGGAGACCTTGACAACATGAACGGCTCGTGGTTCTCCAGTGTTTACGGCGGTGAATTTCCGGCTTCGCCTGATTCTCTAGCAGATGTGTATTGGAATACGAACATGTTAAATCCTGTACTGTTCTCGCAAGCCATTGGTTGCGCTGCATCAACGAAAGGCCCTTTTGATGTCGTCCTCGAAGTTGGACCACACCCTGCGTTACAAGGCCCAGTCTTAGAGGTCATTCAACAAGAAATTGGTAAGACTATCCCGTATTGTGGAGTTTTGAGCAGAGGCAAAAACGACATTGAAACTTTATCTGATGCCCTGGGATTGATCTGGAGTCATCTTGGCGCCAGTGCCGTCAACTTCCAACAATATGATTCGCTCATGTCTGGCGGCGCAAGCTTCGAGTTTCAAGAAGATTTACCACTATACGCCTGGGATCATGAACGTCGATTCTGGTACGAGTCTAGAGTTTCTGAAAATTATCGCACTCGCCAGGATTCTTGTCATGAACTGTTGGGAGTCAGAGTCGCCGATGGCACAGAGCAGGAAATTCGGTGGCGGAACATGCTCTCGGTGAAAGAAGTCCCCTGGCTTCGAGGCCATCAAATTCAAGGAGAAATAGTATTTCCTGCGGCTGGATATGTTACCATGGCACTAGAAGCGTCTTTGTCACTTGCAGGGGAACGATCGGTCGTGGCAATTGAAGTTCAAGACCTCGTTATTGGTCGGCCCATATCATTTGCCGACGAAGAATCAGGAGTCGAGACTCTCTTCACGCTCACCAATGTTAGTAACGCAGATGGAAGTGCGACAATGTGTACCGCCAACTTTACATGCTACTCAAGTCCTCAGAATCACAAGAGAGGCAGCACAATGATCCTGACGGCAACCGGTCACTTACAGATTAGTCTTGGTGACGGACACTCAAACTTACTGTCTTCTAGACCCATCGAGCCTTTAAATCTGGTCGAAGTTGATACAAGTCGCTTTTACTCTGCGTTGAGCGACCTCGGCTATGGTTATAGCGGACCCTTCAAAGGATTGTCCACTTTGAAACGCAAAATGGACGTAGGCACTGGTCTCGTTGCAAGCACCAACAGCACCAATACAGCTAAGCCCATGCTAATCCATCCGGCGATGCTAGATTCCGCCTTTCAAGCAATATTTCTTGGATACGGTTGGCCAGGTGACGGCAGACTGTGGTCTATGCATGTTCCTACCAAGATTGAAAAGGTAAAGGTCAATGTATCCCTCTGTCGTTCTGAACTGCGGGGGGATGTTCAGTTGCCCTTTGACTGCATTTTGAGCGACAATCCTTTGTACCCCATATATGGAGATATCGATATTTTCACCCGTGATGGACGAAGCAGCATTGTTCAAATCGAAGGTGTTACGGCTGTACCACTCTCCGCAGCTTCTCGAGCGGACGACCGCAATATATTTTCGGATATTTCATGGAATGTTGCTTTGCCAAATGGTCTGATTGCTGCCGAAAATGACCGTGCAAAAGCTGAAGACTTCGAATTGGCACTCCTTTGCGAACGTGTAGCACACCTATATCTCATGGAACTGGATAAAACATTTCCACCCGAAGTCCGCGCGAGCTTGCAGTGGAATTTCCAGAGACTCCTGGACTTTGCAAGTTATACGGTTCGGCTAGTGGCAGCTGGCAGACACCCCTTCGCTAAGAAAGAATGGACGCACGATACACGGGAGCAGGTAATTCCTCACGCGAGAAGGTATGTTTGCGTTCTGCTTAACTCGATTTGATATGCTGACACTTTTTTGTAGTTTCACTGACAGCACTGATTTGAAACTTATGCTTGCTGTTGGTGACAACTTGCCTGCAGCCATTCGTGGCGAAACTGAAATATTGGAACACATGACTCGCGGCAACATATTGGACGACTACTACGTCTCTGCACTTGGGCTTCCACAATGCACAAGGTATATTGCCAAAATGGCTAGTCAATTTGTCAATAGATACTCCAATCCTAAGATTCTTGAGATTGGTGCGGGGACAGGGGGTGCTACTAAGAGCATCCTCAAATATCTCAAGGAGCAAAACCAGACCGTTGCCTCGTACACTTTCACTGACATCTCGGGAGGCTATTTTGAAAAGGCCCGCGAAGTATTCAAAGATCTAAGTGGGAATATGTTGTTCAGCGTGCTTGATGTGGAGAAGGATGTTGTGTCGCAAGGCTATTCCGAACATTCCTATGATCTAGTCATCGCGTCCATGGTTCTACACGCAACCTCGAAACTGGAAAACACAATGAAAAACGTCCGCCGCCTACTGAAGCCTGGTGGCTACTTGTTGATGCTGGAAACAACAAGCAATTCACCATCAAGAATCGGTTTTACGATGGGTGGTTTACCTGGATGGTGGTTGGGAGCAGATGATGGCAGAGCACTTTCACCTTGCGTGCCATCAGCAAAATGGGATGAAATTCTGAGGAACACTGGGTTTGGTGGCGTTGATTCAATCACGCCTGAGCTTGACCCTTTACCATGCCCGCTATCTGTGATTGCATCACAAGCTGTTGACAATCGTGTCTCTGCCCTACGCAAGCCACTGCAGTCACCAACAATTACACCACTGCCTCAAAATTTATTTGTTCTTGGCGGAACCACATTGTTGACTGCCCAACTTGCAAGAGGAGTCGTGGAACTTCTCAGAGGGCGGTACAATCGTGTCACCGTCGTGGATCATCTGGAAAACATCAATACGCTCGATCTACCTCCAATGTCAACAGTGCTTAGTTTGACGGACTTAGACGAACCTGTTTTCATGTCAATGACAACGAAGAGACTTGAGAGCTTAAAAGGCCTTTTCGATCAGTCGAGGAATGTACTTTGGCTTACGACAGGATGTTTAGGCAAAGATCCGTATGCTAATATGATCGTTGGTTTTGGTAGAACATTAGTGTTGGAAATGTCTCACATTCGCCTACAATTTTTGGATGTTGACATACCAGACAGCTTGGAGCCCCAGGCCTTGGCGGACGTTCTGTTACGTTTGCAAATCACAGGCCAGTGGGAAACTGAGGGAACGAACAGCGATGTTTTGTGGACTACGGAACCAGAGCTAGCCCTAGATCAGCGGAGACTGATGCTGCCGCGCGTTTACCTTAATAAGGCGCAGAATGATCGCTACAATTCCTCTCGAAGGCCTATAACGAAGCAGTTGGACTCTAGCAAGTCCAAAGTTGGGGTTATTCATACCGGCGATTCGTATACACTACGGGAGTGGAATATGCCAAACCATGCACAAAACTCCCATGGAGCTAACTGTGTGGATATCAATGTCAGACATTCATTGTTATCATCTATCAAGATAAGCACAGGCGCCAGCTTATATCTATCGATTGGTTCAACTTTGGATAGTAACAAACTAGTCCTGGCTCTATCTGAAACTCAAACATCTGCTGTTAGCACTCCTGAAGCTTGGACAACACCCTGCGATATCGCTGAAAACCAACAGCAGCATTTTTTGCTTTCAGTTGCTCACAATCTCGTAGCTCAGTCGATACTGGCACTCACTGACGCTGACGAAACCATTCTGTTAAACGAGCCAGGAGATTCATTTGCCCGTGTCACCACACAGAGGGCTGCCGAAAAGAACTTACACGTTGCATTTGCAACAACATCTGCTGAAAGAGGCTCTCCCTGGGTCTTAATCCGCCCAAGCACATCGAAGCGCCTGGTCAAAAGCATGCTACCTGATCACGTGTCAGTCTTCATGGATATGTCCTCAACCAGTGATTCTGAAGAGGCTGTTGGGCACCTAGTCTCTGCTTGCTTATCGCCTGCTTGCAGAATCGTAAAATCATCTGTCATTTTCAGTCCTTCCGCGATCGTGCTACCTAAGTTTTCAACCGAGCAAATCGCGAGACAGCTGAAACATGCTTCACAGCATGCCGAAATCCCCAAATCGCAAGAGCTCATTCCCCCCAAAGAAGAAACTTTGCTTCTAACAGATTTCCCCAAGTCTCTTTCTTCTACTAGTCGATTCTCATTGATAAACTGGACGCATCAAGCCCCTGCCCAGGTCAATCTCGAGCCTATAGATTCGAAACCTATGTTCTCTAAGGATAAAACTTATCTTCTTTTTGGCTTGACTGGTGGTCTTGGCCAGTCACTCACTCAATGGATGGTTCACCACGGCGCTAGATTTATTGTACTAACGAGTCGGAAACCAAGCGTTGAGGCGCAGTGGCTTAGAGATCTTGAAGCGCTTGGTGCTACCGTCCAAGTTTTTCAAAAGTACGTCCTGTGTGCTAATCCAACGTTGTTATTGAATATTAATTGCGCGCTAGTGATATTACCGACGAGCAGTCAGTGCGGAATCTCTGCGATGAAGTACGCAAGACTTTCCCACCCATTGCTGGCATAGCCAATGGTGCCATGGTTCTTGACGATACACCTATCTTGAATATGACCATTGAGAAGCTGGACAAGGTTCTAGCTCCGAAGGTTAAAGGTAGCATATATCTGGATAAACTTTTCGCCAATGATGACTTGGAATTTTTCATTTTGTTTTCCTCTTTGGCCTGCGTTTTAGGTAACAAAGGTCAGTCGAATTATACCACAGCAAACTCTTTTATGGTAAGTCTTGCCTCCCAGCGAAGAAACCGGGGTCTCGCAGCCTCCGTCATCAATATAGGAGCAACAGTTGGAAATGGATATCTCACTCGCGAACGAAGCCAAGAATTGCAGGACTATCTTCGCAAAGCTGGCTTCATGTGGATGTCGGAGCGAGACTTTCAACAGGTGTTTGCCGAGGGCGTCGTCGCTGGCCGGGTAGACTCGGGTCAGAGTGGTGAGGTGGTGAGTGGTTTACGTGTGACCAATGACGCGGAAGAAAAGACTATCTGGTACAACAATCCTAAATTTCAACATTGTATCATCCGCCAAAGTGTGGATGAAACGAATAGCGAAAAGGCAAAACCGATCGTTCCACTCAAGACAGAGTTGTTGCACGCGACAAACAAAGAGGAGATCGAGCGTATACTCAAAGGTATGATTCTACCATCTAGTGAATACCAAATTCTACTAACATGAGCTATAGATTCTATTGTTCTCAAACTGCGAACTGCGCTTTTACTTAGTTCCGATAGTGCCGACATGATGGATAAGAACGCTGATGATCTAGGTATTGACTCCCTAGTGTCAGTATCGCTGCGCTCCTGGTTCTTAAAAGAACTCCACATAGACATGCCGGTCATGAAAATACTAGGTGGTTCGACTATTGGCCAGCTACTATCATTCGCCGTGGTGAAGTTGCCGGTCGACCTTACTCCAAATTTGAATGCAAGCATTTCTTCTCCCAAATCAAAAATCCATTCAACAGATTCAGCGCCGACTGTGAAAGAAAGCGACGTTCGAGAAACCTCTGAAACTTATAGCAAAGTCGAATCGTCAAGTTCCTCATCGTCTGTTTCATTGATTCAAAAGGAGTCGTCAGAAACCGGTTCCTTTACTCCAATATCGCCTTCATCATCCTCGTTTTCCATGGCGACACCAAGTGATAAGCCCCGCTCTACCAAAAGATTCTTCAAAAGGACCCATAAAATGTCCTTCGGCCAATCTCGGTTCTGGTTCTTGACGTCCTTCCTCGCAGATAAAACGACATTCAACGTTACTTGTTCCATCCACGTCACAGGTCCTCTAATAGTTAATCAATTTGCAAACGCAGTGAAGTCAATAGGCCAGAGACATGAGGGGTTGCGAACTTGCTTTTTTGATGATGAGGACCAAGGTCCGATGCAAGGGATACTCGAGAACTCACTGCTGCACCTCGAGCAGAAGACCGTAGAGGAAACTCAAGTCGTCATCGAATTCGCAAGGATGAAGGCCCACGTCTATGATTTGGAACACGGCGAGACGATGAAAATCTTGCTTTTATCGGAGTCGACAGCGTCCCATCATCTGATCATTGGGTATCACCATATCAACATGGACGGAGTTAGTCTTATGGTCCTACTTTCCGACCTAGAGAGGGCTTATAGTGGCAAGCCTCTAGCTTCTGATATCCTTCAGTATCCCGAATTTTCCGAGAAACAGCGCCAACAACACACGCTCGGGAATTTTGAAAACGACATTATCTTCTGGAAAAGGGAGTTTAATGAGCTGCCTCCTACACTGCCCATTTTATCACTTTCTACGGTCACCACTCGTCGTGTTATAGCAGATTATAGTTCAAACAAAGCGGAAGTTAGGATTAGCGCCGCATTGTCGCAAAGTGTTCGAAAAATATGTCGGGAAGCCAAGGCCACTCCCTTTCACTTCTATCTTGCAGTGTTTCAGATCCTTCTTACCAGATTTTCGGGTGTGGATGATATTTGTATAGGTGTTGCGGACGCCGGCCGATCTGATAGTGGTGCTTTTGAGAGCATTGGGCATTATCTAAACGTAGTGCCGTTGCGTTCCAAGCTGCAACGATCTCAGAGCTTCTCTAGTATCTTGGCGAACGCCAAGGCTAAAGCTTATGCCGCACTTGCTAACGCGAATGTTCCAATCGATGTTCTCTTGAATGAGCTGGGCGTTGTAAGGTCAACCACCAACAGTCCTCTTTTTCAAGCGTTTATCGATTACAGAAATGTACCGGAAACCCAGACGTTTGGGAACTGCAAGTTAGAAGGACAAGAATACTCAGTAGGGCGAACTGCTTATGATATTCTCTTAGATATCGTGGACAATAGTGCAGGCGAGTCGCTTTTATCGATCGTCGTTCAGCAAGATCTGTACACTAATGGTGATGCGGATATCCTCATGAAAGCCTTTATAAATTTGATTGAAGTCTTTGCAGTCGATCCCCAAGTGGGCATGGAAGCGCCTTCATTGTATTCGCTAGTGGATGTTGAGGATGCAATCAAGCTGGGTACTGGTAGGTCTGAGGGTTCGTAAGTGTATGGTCATAGGCTAATTGTATACAGGTCCTAGTCTAAAGTCAACTTGGGAAGAAACTTTACCGCATCGCATTGACTCCGTCGGCCGAAAAGCCGGATCGCAAGTTGCTGTAAAAGATGGACTTGGTCACAAGCTCACCTACACTGAATTGATGAAACGGACCAACACGATTGCCAGTGAACTCTCGGGGGCGAACATATTCCAACAACCCAGTCCCAGGGTCGCAGTATTCCAAGAGCCCACTGTGGATTGGGTATGCTCGGTTTTGGCCATTATGCGGCTTGGTGCAACATACGTGCCGCTTGATTTACGTGCGCCCCTTCCAAGATTGGCTACCATTGTCAAAGATTGTCACCCACAAGCACTTCTCTTCCACAACGCAACTTCAGATTATATAAACAAGCTCGACTTGCTTGATACTGCTGCCATAAACATATCCCACCTCAACTCTCGTGACGTCGAGGTATCCAATTGCGCCAATCCTGATTCTCCAGCAGTCATTCTCTATACTAGTGGATCTACTGGCGTACCCAAAGGCATTTGCCTCCACCACAGAGCTATCAGAAACCAGATAGAGGGCTTCTCAGAGCGATGGGAGATCACGTCTGATATAGTTTTGCAACAGAGCGCATTTAGCTTCGATATCTCCTTGTGGGAGATGTTCACGGCTCTAGCAAATTCTGGAACCGTCTTCATTGTGTCTAAAGCGTCGCGTGGAGATCCGGTTGCTCTGTCGAAGATCATTTGGGATGAAAGCATTACACTCACCATTGGGGTAACTTCCGAGTATATCACGTGGCTCCGTTATGGTGAAGCCAAATATCTGCAACAATCAAGCTGGAGACTGATGCTTTGTGGTGGTGAGCCATTCTCGGATATACTCAATTCTGAGCTGAAAGCTTTGGGTAAACCGGATCTTCGAGCTGTCAACGTCTACGGGCCGACAGAAGTATCCTTCTTTTCCAACGAGCTTGAAGTGCTGTACAAGGGAAAAGGCGATGATCTCAAGTTACCCATGCCCGTTGGGCCAGCCGGTTCGAACTACTCCATCTATATTTTGGATGAAAATCTGGATCCCGTCCCCGCTGGTGTTCCTGGCGAAATATATATCGGTGGGGCATCAATCGCCACGCAATACATCAATGACAAGGCACTCAGCAGCCACAGATTTCTCGACAATAAGTTTGCTTCGCCCGACTGGCTTTTAAGAGGATGGAAGACAATGCATCGATCAGGTGACTGGGGTCGGCTACGGAAAGAAGATGGTGCTCTTATGTTCGAAGGCAGAATTGTGGGAGATACCCAAATCAAGCTGAGAGGTCTTCGAATTGAGTTACGCGATGTAGAGAGCACTATTCTTTCCCAAGCGACTGGGGTGCTGGAAGACGTTGTGGTTTCAGTCCGTGGAGATCCACAATTCCTTGTCGCGCATGTGGTATTCCGTGGCGATTATCACTCCACAGAAGAAACGCGCGACAAATATCTCAAGCGGCTTGTTTCTTCACTACCTCTGCCACAATACATGTGCCCAGCTATGGCCGTGACGCTGAAGACGATGTTGTTGAACAATCATTCTAAGAAGGACAGACGTGCTATCAGCGACCTTCCTCTTCCAGAAAAACATGATAGAATGGAGCTGGATAGTAGCCATGCTCTCACGCCTACTGAAACACGACTAAAGGATATTTGGGAAGTCGTCCTTACCAAACACATTCTGGTTTCTCACACAATTAACGAGGATTCGGATTTTTTCCACTCCGGTGGCAACTCTATGATTTTAATGGCGTTGCAATCCAGTATCAAGCAACATTTCTCTGTTTCTCTTCCGTTGGTCAAATTGTTCGAGGAAAGTACTCTTCGCCGCATGGCAAGCTGTATAGAAAGTGGATCCGTTCAGCAACAAGCCAGCCTGGATATCAACTGGAAGCAGGAAATAGAACTCGATGCTAATACTTTGACGGCGCCAGCATATCGAGAAAAAGCGCAACCACATGAGCCAAGGGTTGTGTTATTGACTGGATCTACTGGCTTCCTTGGTAAAGCCATGCTTCGGCAACTCGTGGAACAAGAAAGCATCCAGAAGATATACTGCATAGCTGTACGTGGCGAGCAACGATTTTCAGAATTTCCTTCCAAGAAGATAAAAGTTTACGCAGGGGACTTGACTCTGCCACGGTTGGGTCTCTCACTGAAGGATGCGGAAGCCGTCTTCAATGAAGTGGACACCATCATTCACAACGGTGCTGATGTGTCCTTCCTGAAGACCTATTCAACGTTGAAAGCGGCCAATTTGACCTCTACTGTGGAGTTGGCAAATCTCGGTCTCAGGGGATCGCAGCCGCAGTTCCATTACGTATCTTCAGCCGGTGTCGCGCAGCTCACAGGCAAAGAGGTCATTGATGAAAGCTCTGTAGTCCAATATCACCCACCAACTGATGGTTCAAATGGATACTCTGCCTCAAAGTGGGCCAGTGAAGCATATCTGGAAAGAGTACACCAGCATTCAGGGTTGCCCGTATTCATCCATCGTCCATCATCAATCATTGGAGAAGATGCCCCAGAGTTAGATATCATGCATAATCTACTGCGCTATTCTCGAAAGATGAAGGCTGTGCCTGATCTTTCTTCATGGCGAGGTTGGTTTGATTTCATCCCTGTGGACGACGTTGCCTCGGGGATTTTGAAGGCAACCTCTCTCCATAGATCGTTGCCAAGTCCTGTGTTGAAGTATATCCATCAGTCTGGACAGATAGAGGTGCCCATTGGTGATTTCAAAACATTTTTGGAAAACGAGAGCAAGGATGAATTCGAGATGTTTTCTAGTGATGATTGGATTCGGAGAGCGCAAGAATCAGGTCTACACGAGTTGGTTGCGACATACATGTCTCAGGCGGCAAGCGTTCCTGTTGTGTTGCCGAGGATGGCTAGAAGTGATGTATGAATAGCTTGTGTTACAGTTCATCTACAATGGGGTTTGATCTTGATAGCTGATTTACGCTTACATTTATACATTCATATAATATTGTCACCCAAATTTATTACTTTTTGTAATTCACACCGCCACCTGATCACTTCAACCCGCTCACGATCATGCTCATGAATGCTACTCTACTACATCATGCCTAGTTTTCAGAATCAGCGTTTATAGTCTAGTTATATTGTCTTAATTCGGAATTAGAAATATCATCTTGAATCCTTGTTCTGAATCTACAAAACATTATTTACACCTTGCTTATATCATCTCACTAGCGTGTCACAATCATCGGGGTACGATTCATAAGATCATCTGAAACCACCTCTTTATTCTTACTTCTAAACCTATCTTAAATCTGATTAGAAGTAATATCTCCTCCCTATCTCCTCAATCAACCAAACCATGCAAATATTTCCTACTCGGTGAAGGGACTGGTTGTGTCTTCCAACCCACCACGCGCCCTCTCAACCCTCTTACCCCTTCTATTCAACCTAATCCACTCCCTCACCTCCCGAATCTCCACCTCTAACTCACCCATCTCCTTTTTTATGGCCTCGATCTCTTCGGGTGTCCGGGTCGTCGGGCTCGACGCCATGGTTATTTCGTGTTTTTTTGCGGCGTGCCGACTGGTTAGTGTGGAGAGGTAGAGGAGGGCGGTTGTTAGGGGGGGGCTGTTGGGGAAGGAGGTTGTGGCTGAGGGGAGAGGGGGAGGGGGGGGTTGGGAGGATTGGGGGGATTGCATTGTGAGGAGGTTGTTGTGGTGGTGGTGGTTGGTGGTGGGATGGTGGATTTGGGTGTGTTGGATAGTGGTTGTTTGAGATGGTGGATGGTGGATGTGTGGAATGGTGGGTGTGTTGATGAGAGTTTGTAATGTTTGTACTGTTGAAGACAAGAAACTCTTCATGGAGAGAAGGAGGGTGTTTAAGTAGATGAAGAGAAGTGAAGGTGTGTTGGTTTCGTTGTTGTAAATACAATAACAGTATAACTCGACTGTGTACATCTGATTGTAGTGTGTAGATGAAGTGATTATGAAGATGGATCTTGCTGTAGGAGGGAGGGGAGAGATTGAGTTTTGTGAATGCTCTGGCATTTGAATCATCGCTAATTTGATGTACAATATACAAAGGCTCATTAGTATGTGACTGTATTTTCTAGAAGTTGTGCTTTCTTAATAGTAGGTCACAAGCACTATTCGTTTTGTATTTTGTTACATAATTTTAATTTGAAAATTCAACTAATTCCTCGTTCTAAATCTACAAATCATCCGTTACAGCTTCCTCATTCTACCTCACGAGTTTCTCTAAAACAAACGGTGTACTTTCTACTAATCTACTTACATCACGAAACCACCTCCTCTATTCCACCTATAAACGTATATTATCTCGCTTAAAGCAGGCAATCTACCCCATCCTCGTTACTCTACACTCTTACTACATACTATACTCCCATCCCATCCGCACCGACCTATCGCACCCATCTCTTACCCATCCTCCTCCCACCCTCCTCCTCCTCCCAAATTCCACATCCACCCTAAATAATCCCTCCAACCCCATCCCCATCCGTCCCATACTCTCTAACACACACCTTCGCTTCTCTAACCTCCACTTCCAACTCCGCGATCTCCGTGCGGATCTCTTCTACTTCTTGGGCGGTAAGTTTGGTCGCCATGGATAACTGATCTTTTTTGAGCGCGAGCCGACATTGGCGGTTTATTAGACGGTTGGCGTCGGCTTGTTGGGTTGGCATACTGGAGAAGAGAATGGGGTGTTTGAGAGGGGGGGTGTTGATAGTGTGGGGAAGGTGGATTGTTGAAAAGTGGTTTTTTCGTATTGACAAAGAGTTGCCAACAAGTGTGGTGTCGAAGAAGAAGAAGTGTACATGAGAATCGTGTTTTCATGGAGGAAAGGGGGGTTTAAGTACCCCGAAGAGACGGACGTTGTGTTGGTTAGGTTATTATAACAACGACAGCTTAATTAACGATTCGTGTGTGTATGTTCGACAATTCAGTCGTAGCGCGTAAATCTCATGTCTGTCGCGTGATTGTTGGGAGGGTTGGTGTAGGTGTGAAAAGGGGATGTGGGGAAAGGTTTGATTGACGGTAGGCTGTGAGATTGAAGAGAAGTGCGAGGCTATGGTTTCGGGTGGCTGTTGTGCATTGTAGGTTAGTTGGTTAGTGATTCAAGTCAAGGACTCGGTTCCTGTTGGGTGTCAAAATGTGGGACTAGTGATTGTTAATGGGTGTTTTCATGTGTATGAAATGGGTATATGTGAAGTTGCTGGGTTAATAGTGTATGAGAGGGACAAGATGTCTAGGAGGATGCTTTTGGGGTAGTTACTGTAAGTAAGGTTGATGATGTAAGTATACGCAATTAAGCAGTATATTATTTTTAAGCGAGAAGATAGACATCTGGCCATTGTTTAAGAAAAGCGTGGATGTAGTGAAGTGATTGGGATAATGAGGACGATTAACCGCCCGAATAAGATATTTCTGGACTAGTTATTGTAAGGGCGAGTAGCACCCTAGAGAATCGGATTTTGACATTTAAACCGTGTATTTTTTCGAAGAGAGAGGGAAGAACTATACTAAACAATTGAATTTTTTATTGATTAGTAGCATAATTTCTAAGTAGAGTACAGAGGACTTTTATTTACTAAAGACAGTTGTTATATAGTTTAATGTAGAATTTCGATCTCGAATACCACTTTTCCAAATATCCGTCTATCTATCTTTTAACATCTTGTTAATCAAGTCCCGTTCCATCTCCCCTCTTTACGCACTATTCTTATTCTTATTCGTTATAATCACAAGATTTAGACAGAGCGTATGTTCTTGAATCCTAGCACGCAACTTCCTGTAGCTACAATAACACCGCCCAGATAACCTCTATATTTCTTTCGGCTACTTAAAATCGCCTTGCTATCCTATCCTCCTCTTCAAACTTCATATTATTTCCAAAAACAGAATAACCACAACACACACAAACATCTTCACCAAAGCCTCCTTACAAACACAATGCCCACCCAAACCGCCGGAGCCAACCGCCTCGCAGACCGACAACGTCGTCTCGCCGCAAAACACCACCAACTATATATGGCACTCGAACTGAACGCTCTCCGCGACCAGGTGCAGAAAAACGGCGACAAGAAAGCGGGGATGGGAAATCTGGACAAGAGGGAGGATGTAGAGAAGATCCGGACGGAGATTGCGGCGTTGGAGGTCGAGATCGAAGATTTACATGAGTGGATTAGACGGTATGGGAGGGATGAGGATGGGTATGGTGGGATTTGTTAGAGAATAAGGGATGAGGGAGGGGAAGGGGAGAGAGGGGAGAGGGGAGATTGGAAAGGGATTTAACAGAGGATAAAATTGTGAATTTGAAGAGGGAGAATATAAATTTTCAATAACCATGACTACTAAACAATGACCAATTGATAAATTTCAATAGCTGGATATATATCTACGGCAGCTAATAGCAGGACTTCTGATTGTTCTCGATCTCGCTTAGATGGACGATCCATTTTACTCCATTCAAGCAATCACTTCGATCCCACCAATCACACCCATTGAATCAATCCAAATTGTCAACATATCCTCACCGTCATCACCCAGCGAGCTCTCGTACTTCACACAATCTGACCTATAACACTAGATCTTGAGCCAAAAAAGTCTCATTCCTACGCTAACACATGGTATATAAAACACCTTAAACACAACCCTAGCGCTTAGAAGTTCAAACGCCCGCCATGGTATCCGCTTAGCAAGCACAAACGCCCCTAACTTACACAACCCAAACTCCATCCCATCTCATATCACAATCCACCCCTCACTCCCCCTCGCCCTTACAAACACAACACCTTACTCCCCCCTCGTCCTCACCATCCCCGCCCCCATCACCAACCCCCCACCCACAAACGGCCCCTCCCTCTCTTTCGCAGTCTTCGGTCTCACCGCCGTTTTCGGTCTCCCAGTCACCGGCGCCTCCTGATCCCGTCTAAAAAGCGTCTGTCCAGGCTGCATATTCAACATCATATTAACGTCTTCAGGCGTCGTCGCTACATTAACAAGTGGCATCCCAGCCGTGGGTTTGACGCCTCGACCTTTGCCTTTGCGATCCCACTGCGGCGCTTCTTTGAACACGGGCGCGAAATCGAGGAGGGGTTTGGGTAGGGCGTCGGCGGGGAGTTTGGTGGATTTCATGGACATGGTGCGTTCGGGACGGGTTGTGACGGGATGATTTAATAGGGATGGGCCATCGACAAAAGCACCACTGTCGTGGCCGGTGATCTCGCGTTCTTTCTGCGCTTTCTGGCGTTGCGAGTACGTCCGCCCAAGGAGGCCACCAGAAGAAAATTCCTCTTCGCCGGGTGGTGCGCGGTAGGAGTTTGGGGGGTGACGTTTGCTTGCAGTACGTGAGGGCAAGGGGGAAAGGGAAACGCTGTTGCGAAGGTGGAAAGGGACTTGGCGTGGTTGACTGCCTCCGTCGGAAGCGTAATCGCGATCTAAGCTCTCGCGGTTTGGTTTGGAGTCGTCGAATCGATCCATGTCTAGGAGTGGTGCGAATGTGCCGATTGTGTATGGATCTTCGTCGACTGATACTTTGACTGCGTGAGTACGTGATATTTGTTTGGTTTGAACGATTTTCTTCTTTTTCTTGATGTCCATTCGACTTGTCAAATACCAGCTCCTCCATCCTTGAACAGCATCGTACCATTTGTTTGAGAGGGTCTCATCATCGGTACTAAAGTAATGAACGAAATTCTCTGTACTCAAGAACATGGTCGTTTTTTCCTGGCTCTTGATCGCGTAACAAAACTTCTTTGGCGGTTTCAAGACTTTTCGGGTTTGTGACGGCGTCGAGCTGTAGATATCGAAATCAGACAGATGACATAAACTCAGAATGTCCTTATCCGAAGATTTCTCTGGAGTCTTTTTCGACATATGAATCTGTCCCGACGGGAGCAAGGTGATGTATCGCTTATTCCATTTTCCTGGCTTCTGTGAGTGATACATGTAAACCGTTGTAGCATTTGGTGCCTCCTTAGGCGCAAATTCAGCCTTGAGATCTTTGTCGAATTGAGGATTCTCGGAATTTGCGATCGTAAGTGAGTTTTGTGTATCTCGATCCCATGAATTCATCACGTCTCGAATATGCTCGTATCGTCGAATCCGTCGCTCCAGACCAAGTTGTTTGTATGATTCGAGAATAATCGCGCTTGATGGAATGATGTTTTGGGTCATAATATTGGCTGCTGAATATATGAGGTCCACAGGGGTGGTTTCAGGAGTAACTGGAAGATTTATCGAGGACTGTTTGCATCGAATCAAGACACGCTGGATCTATTAGCATATTTCCGAATGATGAAATTAGTAACTCACTCTTTCACCAGCATTACTCGCAGAGATTGGAGCATCAGTTTGAGGAACAATACCTCCACCTCCTTCTTGAATCATCTGTTCAGGCGCCAACGGCTGGTCGAGTCTATGAGGCTCCCGCACAACTCTTCGCGATGGTGGTGACGCATTTCTAGCTTTCTTCAATTCCTTCGGAGGTGCTTCAATACTCCTCGTCCTCGTCGCAGACAATGTGCCACTACCACTCCCACTTCCACTTCTCGACGTCCTTGGAGGGGCAACTTTCGAAGTCGCACGTTTCCTTGAAAAGAAGTTGAATTTGTCTTTCGGGCTTGTAACACTTGGTGGTCTCGGACCAGCTGCATCGAGCGTCGCCTCTAACCTTTCCAGGTCTTTCCGCTTCTGTTCTGCGAGCAGCCGCGCAGTCTCCTCCTCTTGTGCTCTTATTTTCTCAGCTTGCGCCTCTGCCTCCGCTTTTCGCTGTTTTGCTATTTGAGCTGCCTGATTCTTGCGCCTTGCAAATTGTCCATCGTCGCTCGCCTTCTGCTCTTCTGCCCTGGCATTTCGGGCTTCCCGTTCGCGGAACTCCTTTACTTTACGTCGCAGACGTTCGTCCTCTGTCTCCTTGTGACCAGCAACACCCGACTTCAAACCGCCCCTTTCCACCGGATGAGATGGTTGTTGCCGTGTCGCAGAAGAGGCCGGATCAGTGACTCTTCTCACTCGCTGGTTTCCACTTGACACTGCAAAAGGATCTTGGTTTCCTCCTGGCATCGCTGGCAATGGGGGAGGGGTATCATTCGAAAGTTCAGGAGATCCAATTCTTGAACGCCTGTACCTCGACATACTCTTCGTCCTCCCCATCGCATTCGAATTATCTGGCATGACTTCTACAGGCGGCGGATATGCTTTCGCAGGCGGCTGTCTCACAGAACGATACCTCGAGAACTTCCCCTGCGGGGTCATCGAGGGGGCATCTCTTTCTTCCGACATGGTGGAGGATATTCAAGGAACCGGTATTTTGCTGATCATGAATCCGAGGGAATGGGGATACGAGGATCTTTGTATGACAATTGCGCGATCATGCGGACTCATCATAGGAATGCGATTCAGTGTTTGAGCGCGCGCACAAGGAAAAGTGCAGAAGAAGGCTGGGGGCTGTAACAGAAGCAATCTAGTCCAGTTTGGACCTCCTCGAGGTCTTTACACGCGCATTCACACGCGACGGATGATGGGTGGAGGCTGATGTGGAATTTGGACCCGGGTGAATGGTATTTGCGTCTGGCGGTTATTGTCAGAATCCTTTTCATACGGAATTATCTCCTTCTTTTCCCTCGGGGGGTTTATGAGGGCCCATATTCAATCTTAATTATAGAAATGCTTGGCGGGAGGCGGGCCTTTCTGTTGCATAAGCGCGAGGCGCTCGGGTACAAGTCTGATGCAGATCGTCCGAGAGATGGGGTTGGATATTTGGTTCAGAGGATTGCTTCAGTATATTTATGGTGAGAATTGAGATATCAGGTTCTTGTAGTCTTCTGTAACATATATACTTTTTAACATAAGAAACATAAGAAACATAAGAAACATAAGAAACATAAGAAACATAAGTGAAATCAAATCTTTTGATCTGGCTTCTGCATTGCAAAATCCGCTTGCTCGGGGTACTCGTATTCATAGCGCAACTGCACAGGTGAACACGAGAAAAGTCACGAAGCACTTTTAAAAATGGCCGACCTTTGAAATACTAGCATCGCCTTTTCTGAGTGGGTTTGACGAGACTTTTTTTGTGGCGTAGAATAATATTATCCTGGCAGACATCCATAGATCTCGGGTTCTAACGTAAAAACATGCGCCTCCGCAAAGATTTATGTCAAGTCCGTTCAGGTGCATGAAATCGTTCACGATACGGAGTAACCAAGAGATCAGCATCCCAATATGCTTTTAGCTGTGAATCTCGCCTGGCAGAAAAGACTCGATCTGATGCTCATGTACCCATCACAATAAACCATTATTGGTTCTCAGAGAGAAAGAATCGTTCCTATGGATTTTCATCCTACTTTCTGAATGCTCTAGCCTCTCTCCTCCACCACCCTTTGAAGTCCATTGTAGCAACATTAATTCCCAAATCCTTGAGAGCTTGACTCGACAGGTGACAATCGTAGGGCCGTTTAACACTAGCATTCGGATCGTTTCCCTCCGTATTCGCCTTCATGTTATCCAACGGCAAGCCCATGATATCTGCAAACAACTCGCAGATCTCGTATTTTGTGAATTTGTCTTCCGAGGAAAATTGTAGGATCTTGGGGAGTGAAGTTTTGTCTTCGGTAGAGAGGTATTTGGCCGCGATATCTAGGTAGAGTTAGCATACTGCCAATATGATGATACTGTGACATACCTTGACAAACCCGTCCTACATCTTCTGTGTTCGTGGGATACCTCAGTGCCCAATGATCCATATTGACGGACCCCTCTTGTGCTTTCCAAATACTGTCCATCAAAACATTAACAGCACTCTCCGCGGGTTTCTCGGCCTCGCCATATAAGACCGGAACCCTCAATACAACCGCCCAGCCCTGTTTGCCCGCCTTCTCAAGCTCAGCAAGCACTGCCTTCTCGCCCTCATGTTTTGTTTCTCCGTATAGATTCGGTGGGTTTGGTGTGCTGGTAACTTCATACGGCGCGTCACCTTCGGTGCCAGGGAACACATAATCGGTCGAGATGTAGATGAGGAAGATCGAATTCGCAGCGCAGATCTTAGCTAGGGAAGCAGATGCTGCGACGTTGAGCGCTCGTGTGCCTTCGGGATCGTTGTCACATTTGTCTGGGAATCGATTTGCGGCGCCTGTAGAACCGTCAGCCTGATCGCGATGATTTTTGGGGTGGACTCACAATGCACAACCACCGACGGTCTTCATTTGCTCGTGCCGATTAGTGGTGTATTATTGTGATGGTGTAGTAACATACTTGATGTCCTCGATGGTTTTTGCTACGTCCGCCTCGGATCCAAGGTCCAGCTTCAGGATCGTGGGAGGCTTTGCGCGTGTGAGGCCGGTGCCTTTGACGTCCCATTCTGCGCGCTCGAAGGCCTTGACGACTTGACGGCCGAGGAGACCGGTTGCGCCTGTGATGAGAGCTGTTCTGGCCATTTTGGTGTTGAATGGGGGTTTGGCTGCGAATCTACGGTATTGTGGCCGCCGATCTGCTGGCGCGTCACGTCGAAAAATTCAAATCGGGTCAACAAGTATATCAGTATCACGTTAGAACCCAACTTCAGGATCGTTAGTCGTATTCTAAATCGTAGATCGTTCAATAATACATCCTTTACTTTCACGCTTCCATTGCTCTTGATCTTCCGTACGTGTCTCTCAGGTAAGCCACACTAAATTATTCATTATCCACGACAATCCCTCCTAAATCAAGCGCAATAAAAAAAATAACACGCGAGAATTTGTTGCAAATGCGCTGTATGCAGCCGTATCAGCAAAAGCAGCGTAGAACTATCGTGTCAACTATCGTGTCCCATTATATTATATTTCCTCGATCTACAGTGCCATTAATCTTCTTTACAATGCTACCGACATCACACACAATAAAAACAAGATATCTCCCACAACAGGTTTTGTTTGCAAATACATTCTGTCTTTCGGAAACAAGAAAGATGACAACTATACCTTTTATCTAACTCAATTCGTCTCATTTCTCTAACTATCTCTAATACAAATCCTCTATACTCCTCATCCTCTATACTTCCCCTCTTTTCTTTCTTCTTCACGGCAATCCCCTCGAGGATCGCCCGCAATGAAAAAAAAATCTCTTCCTGAGAGGTTTGCTCCAAAAATTCCCTGTCCGACCGGAGCCAGACAGGAGCGGTCATGGTATAGTTTTCAACTAGCAAAAACGAAAACTCGGATTATCTCCTCACTGTTATTCGTAAAGCCCCTAAAAATTCGTTAGCAAGAGACTTCAAAGTTAGGGAGGGGGTCACAAACATGCACTAAGATAGTAGGAGAAAGAAAAAAAAAAAAAAAAAGGGAAAGAAAGGAGAGTGAGGCAGTGGACAAGTCGAGAGACTTTTATACCCAGTTCGCTTAGATTTGGCGCTAAGCTGGCGAGGCATTACAAGGCTGTAAGGGTGCAAATTGAAGCTTTGACTTCACCTTTATGTGTTTTTGTTGACAGTGATATGGAGTCCTCCTTAATGGCCCCCGCCAAAGATCCACTTTGGCAGTTAATCGATCTATTCTATTGGATACTTACCATTCACACTACTTGGATTGGAACCTTCTCGAATTATTGTTGACACCCTCGCCAATCATGTGAAAATACTCGGTTGTGGTCAGCCTCTTGTTGGTGAAGTACGAAGACGGAGGATTGCCTACCCTCATCATTGGGCCTGGGATATCCAGTTTAGAGACCCACATTTGAATATCAATGACCCTCAACCTCGCAAAAGAGAAAAATGAGTGGCAGAACCTCCCGAACCCTTCCAGTGAAGTGGTCAAGATAAGTGGCTGTATCTCTTCACTATCGTACCAGCATATCGAACCTCAGCATTAGAGGTACTCCTGCTTTGACCCTCTATATGGGACTCTGAGGGTCGGAATCTAGTGCCTCTGAATTACAGTGTTTTGAGCGAATACTTCGCATAGTATCGCTGATGCTGGCCTACAGCACTCTCCTCCGACGCTATCCTGGGACTTTCGCAGCGCAGTGTACCCCAACACTACAGAGGAGTTAATCTTTTCTGCACACAAGCTGATATTTTCCTATTTATCTAAATCAATTGACGGTGTACGATATTTTGTGCATAACTTTGAGCACTATTGTCTTCTGACTGCCAGGCACTTTGTCGACTGCGAGCCACCTTTGTGGTAGACGATGTGACTGACTGGCAGTCGAAACACGATATCTTTTCGTTCAAGTTGACACGTTACCGTATATGTAGTGGATCGACTTGACGCGTCATCACATAAGCTTTCAATTATTTCCAGTATATAACAATTTTTGAGCTTTACTCGAAACCATCTATTCAGTCAGATGATCAGGTGGCAGATAACTGACATATATCTTCTCCTCCACAAGCGTCTTAGAGATTATGGTTTGAAGGGCATGATGTAACACCAGTGTGTTGCAAGTCTCACGGGATACCGTTTCTCGGTAAACTGACAATATATCCTGTCCAAAGAGCTTCAAATGCTCAATTTATTTTGATTTAAATATACAATTTCATCTCTTTTGATAAGTTATCTTATATCTATTAAGTAAGGATCGTTGAAAATACATCATTTTTTCACATAGTATCACATTCAAGGGTGTCTCGTCAGTCTTGCGACGTACCGGCGGAGGGCTGGTGATCAGTTTTAACTACAGGTTCATTCTAAGTAAACTACCTCGGTAGAAACGTCTCATTTCCCGATAATAATTAACAACATGTCCGGTATTTCGTAAAATGGTTCCAAGCAAACATCGTGTTTCGACCGCTACTTGTTTGTCTACCGCGACGTGCGACGTACTGAGCGTTCTCTTAAATCTGAAAGTGCTAAGCACGATCTAAGATCTGTTGTTTTCTGAAAATGGTAGCCCCTTTGGTGTGTTGGCCCGTGTGCAGCGTTTAAAATCTTTCATTTCTGAGAATTGTAAACGAAACGTATATTTCGTCAATTGTCCCGAGAACATATCATCTTTCGTGCCACTTGTCGGTGTCCCGTTTTGGGCGACGTACTAACGGTTCTTTCAATATAATTAGGAAGTCTAAGCATGGATTAAAAATCGTTTATTTTCTGAGAATCATAGACGAAATAAACGATTTCGTCAATTGTCCTAAGGAAATACCGTCTGCCACTTGCTACTTGGTTTGCTACCGTAGCAGGCGGCGTACCGAGGACTCTTTTGACTTCAAAAGCACACATTTTTGGACACAGTGCAAAATCTTTTATTTCCTGAAAGATATAGACGAAATTTACATATTTCGTTAATTCTTTTAAGTAAATATCGTAGTCCTATTGCTACTGTTCTGTGTACCGCGGCGTGCGATGTCCTTAACGCTTTGCTTAACTCATAATTAGGAAGTTATGAAGATAGTCACAAGTTTTATTTTCCTGAAAATCTTAGACGAAATATAGATATTGCGTCAACTACTTTGAGTAAATATTGTGCTTCGATCGCCACTTGTATCGTCCACCGCGGTAGGCGATATGTCAACGATTCTTTCTACCTACTATTAGGAATCCCAAGGGCCGGTCAAATCTTGTATTGTCTGAAAATTGTGGACAAAATATAGATATTGCGTCAATTGTTTTGGGTAAACATCGTTTTTCGATGCCACATCATTTATCTACTATAGTGAGAGTTATACTTCTCTACGTTTGCATCTTATAGTTAGGAAGTCACACGACGGTCACTATTTTTATATTTCCTGAAAATCGTAGACGAAATATAGATAATGCGTCAATTGTTTTGAGTAACTATTGTATTTCGATCGCCACTCGTTTTAATCGGCGTTGTGTTAGGTTAAGTGTTATACCTACAACTCAAGTCAACTCATGAACATTTCGACTAGGTTGAGTAAGCCTTTAACAGACTAGTTCTGAATTACCGAAAATGCTAGGCGAAATATAAAATTTTCGTCAATTGTCTCGAAGAAATGTCGTCATATGACTGCGACTAGTTGTATTCACAGCAATACACCAAATCACGTTCTCATGGTTATGCACCTGACTACACGGAAGATCACATTGATGAGAAAGCTGAATTTGATCAAAGATTGTATTGAGCATATCCAATGCTTGTACTTCTAGCTGGGTATTTCCTGCTCCGCTTGCCTTTGAACGCCGCGGGTATCAAGTTGTAATCCCAAATCCAAAACCCCAAATTCAAACCCATATAGCTAATTCAAACACCCAGATAAATACAATGTGTACACCCCCACCATCACAAATCCAAACAAAACCTCTTTTCTTCATGCCTCATCAGGCTGCTTCTCCTCATCTTGGCTCTCATCAGCCAGGTCCTTCATCAGCACATCCTCGCCAGGAAAATCCTCCTCAGGCTGAATCGGTTCAACTTGGGACATGTCATATTGATTGGGTCGGCCACTTGCGTAACCTTCATCGTCCTCATCGTCGTCATCGTTGTCGACATTGCTTTCATCGGCGCTGTATCCCTCGTCGCTACTTTCGGCGTCGGGTGGAGGCATGCGCCACCACAATTCAGAAAACACTTTAACCGTGCGGACCAGTTGGCCCCCCTCTTTGCTACCATACTCATTGTACTTGATAAAATAGCTATGCCGTAAATAGTTCGAGGCGCCAAATGGACAGCGGGGGCAACGGCTGTCGACCATGCGGTCGACTCTGCGCTCCCTGGTCTCATCCTCTTCTTCGATTTCCTCCTGATCTGTACCATCGGTTTCATAACCGACGTCCTCCTCAAATGGCTTCAACTTCAAACAACCTGGACAGCGGCGTCGTTCCTCCCTCTCTTGGCTTGTCAAAGCTCGTTGGCGGCACATCATTTTGAATTCTGTACTGTCAAATGTCAGCAAAAGGGACCAAAAGAGAATACCTCAGAAAGAGAGAGACACTTACATTTGAAGTCTGATCCTCCGATTCAAATCCAAATATTTGAGCTTTCTCTAAGCAAGCGAGCGATTCTGATTGTATACTGTTAATCGTCAGCAAAAAGAGACCAAATAGAATGAAGAGGAGAGAGATAAACACTTACAAATGAGGTCCTGGCTGTGAATTTCCTTTGAACTTTCCAATAATAGTCAAGCGAGTGGGTGATTACAGTAACAGTGTTAGAAAGTGTTGATTGAAAGAGAGTGAGACGATGAATGATGAGAATGGAGGATTCACAAAACTTCCGAAGGATTTGTTATATACTGACCAACGGTGATTAGCAAAACAAGATCACATCATCACGTGTATGGTGTTTAGTTAGTCTACATGATCTGGCTAATCCTATTTCATCGTTGTTTTAATCAAAAGCTAGTAGTCTACCTTCCGCTAAACCAATTTCATCGACGTGCAAGGACCAGTTGCTAATCAGAACCAATCATCTACCTTCCCATCACTCCGTTAAAGCTCTCTCACTCTTCCGCACAGACCAGTTGCTAATCAGAAGCTGGTCGACGAGCTTCTCATCAGCGCGGTACGCGTCTCACGTCTTGTACAATCAGCAGTGTTGGTGAGTCTAAAGCAGTTGTGACGTCGTTAAGGGGGGAGAATGAGCTTGACTCACGTGAGAAGTGGATTTTTCTTTACTCATGGCTCCTAAAACATTTTCCGTTATTGTGTCATAACTAGAGAAAGAACATATGGAACTTTCTAGCCATTTGGAATGATTCTCAGAATTGTTGTGGTGTTGATGGAGAGCCACTTTTGTTGAAACGGAATCTTTTGTGACAGTTATGCACGTAATACAATTGAGTTCAAACTTTATTTTCTTTGACAATGTCCTCCTCGTAGCTAGGGAAATGCAGTAATCATTTTCTGGTTGATTGTGCCTGCCTTATTGTGAAGTATCTTGTGCTGCTTTCTACCTTGTCTTGGCGGACGACATGATAGAAAGTTAAAGTACAGAGTTCAGTTGATCATCTTGACACCACATTGCACCCCATGATCATTTTCTTCCATTAATACAGCTCTCGACATGATCTTTAAGAGTACTATCTAAACATCCTCTGCCACTGAGCAATCTCCTTCTCCCTACCTGTCTCCGCGCATCTGCGACCCCCTCCCCCTGAATACGCCCTCGCACGACTCCGAGCCTTCGCGTTCACGGCGACGATGTCATTACCCAGATAATCTTTCAACCTAGAGCAGGAAATCCAACCGGCAACACAGTGTCAGAAACCACCGGCTCGCTCTCGCAGTCTCCTGAATCTTTGGCGACAACAACGTCTACGATAATAAGCCGAACAAGTTATTGAGGGAAAGATAACGCGGGAAACCCAAACATGTTTCGAGAGAAGAATGGTCCAGTAGGAGCTGCAGATATCGCCGTGTATACTATGAAAAGAGGGAGAACATTGCGTGGACGCTCAAAGATGGAGACTCGATGGAAAGCTAGCCGGAACACTTCGCGAGTGCTGATTCCTGCCGGCCGTTTGCTCTCCAAAACTCGGGGAGTGGCTTTGTATCTTCTCCTTCATTAATCTTTTCACTAACTGCGTTCTTAGCATTTGCGAACTACTTTTCTTCCTAGTCGTTCAGTGCTCTCCTCACATCAATCATACCGAGACGAGAGGCAAGCATTTGCGCCACAGATTATCAGTCTAGCTGGGCACGGCAGGAGGGTTTGAGGAATTGCGCGTACATTGATGTTAGCTCCAGGAGCGAGGGCTCGTGCCGAGAAGTGGGATGGCAGCTTATGAGTGTTGAAGTGCTGATAAATGTTCCCGTCCATTCATTCCAAGAAGTTTGCAGCGTGGGAACCACATGTTCTTGGCTTTTTTTGTTGTTCCTCGTTGGAATGAACAGGTAGTCTCTTGGATTCTCGGGTGACAATGTGTTGTTGATTTGTTAGTTGGTTGTAGGACTGGTGACACACATCTTGACTGAGTGCTCGCACCCCTGCGATAGATAAAAGAAACAGCATTTTCTATGAATTGTAGACTGATAATCTGCAGGGCGCCATAGCAGAACGTTCGGTGCGGAAGATGGAAAATTTGATCATAACCTACTTGTGGCTCATGAGTTGATGTTGTGTTCTTATTAATTGACATCGGCTATGAAACAAAGGAACCAGTATTAGAGTCATAAGTATGGTAGTCGACAAACGATGAAACGTCTCTTCCCCATGTACCATACCAGTTTACCTACCTTGGACCATTTCCCGGACAATGCATAACCTATAAGATACGCAAAGAACGTTTTTGATATAAAGACTTTGTATCATTCAGATCAGAGAAGTTCGGAATCTAAATAAATGGAGGAGCAATCGGAGAGAGCTTATTACGAGCTCAATTAGACTTTAAGCCAAAGCTCTTCAAATCCCTTCCTCAGAAAAATCTGGTCGTGGAACTTCATTAAATATCCACGGGACTTCATATTGAAGTTATCATCATTCCGTGGGTTTGTGAGGAGTAAGAGTCAAGTGTGGTTCTTTGACAAACAGCAAAACGGGGAATATCTTGTTGTTTATGCATATCTCTACGAGCCTAGTGATGCAAGAGCGGGACTTTATAGGTGGAAAGTGAACAGATTCGTCAGCAAGGACAGCTTGGATTACACCAAGGAATACAATGATCTCCTTGCTTGGTTTTGTTATTACCGAGAAGCATTTGGCCTACCTGGGCAAAGTACGAAGCCGGACGACAAGATACCTGAACCATGGGATCCAATAACTGGACCTAGGCCTGAGAACTATTACAATGAGAGCTCCTTAAAAGGTGAAGCTTCAAGGCGACATTCGAGTTTAGATCGTGCCAATGAAGAAATATATTCGGAAAGAAACTGGAACGAAAGACATGCTTCTAGTACCCAATATAAGGTGAGTAGTAGCATGGGGTTTGCAACAGAACTTACTGAAACAGAACTGACAAGAAATTACAGGAAAGGTACCGTGAATACAAAGAACCACGACCGAAGGATGCTTACCACGATGATTGGTCTACTTCTCGTTCAGAATCATGGGCCAGTAAAACATACAATGACAGAGGAACTTCGGATTACAACCAGTCAAACTCTCGAAGTTTTGCTGATGCTCAATACCAAAACCTAGGAGCGTTTGACTATGGAGGTCCGAAATTCAATCACCAGTGCATTGAAAAACTGACGGGACACTATCTAACGATAATGAGTTCAGAAAACGATTTTTCAAATACCACTTTTGTAATATTAATGTTTAACCTCTATAATAGAAACAAAATTGCTTATTTAGTCCAAAGGTTTGAGTAAACATAAAGTTCCGGGGATGATATTACTGTTCTACCGTAATAAGGTGTCCAGTCATACTCGCAACACACTAGTGAATGCCATGCGGAATCGCGTGCTTTCAATATGACTGTTTTCCCTCCCTGGCTTCCTTTATTTCACATTTGCTAAAGCCATTCATAACCCGTTCAAAGGTATGCAAGATACTCCGATTGTGTAGGAGACATATGGTGAGTTGGTAGAAAAGGAGTCATAAAAAGCCCATGTTCCAATTCACAACTCCAAATTGGCGACTATAAAACCAGCTTCTCTCTCTCTCTTCTGCTCTCTCTCTTCTTCTTCCCAAACCATACAACTTTGAGAAACACTTCTATTCACATCTCCTCACAATGTCAAACAATCGAACAAGGTTGACCCATGAAGAAGAGCTCGATCTGTCCATAGTAGCGGAAGCAGAGCTTAGAACCAAGATAAAAGCTTCCGCCGATAAATACAAAAGGCTTTTGGCGGAAGAGTGGGCTGGGGAGTTTGACCAGATGGGAGAACCAAGCGTGATATTACAGATGAATCATCTCGAAAAGTGTCCATATCCTTTCATCGTTGTATAGATCTATGAGCCCAAGACTTTCTCACCGAAAGTACTGCCAGGATCTAAGTGGCTTCTTGTAGCGTGGCATGGAATGGACGACCACTGGGACTATGTGTGTGAAATGCAGTTTAATAAGGGAAGGGATGACCCGACGGTTAAGTTTATAGAAAAGTGGCAAGAAGAGCATAAAAAGATCCTTCCAGTGGATCAATTTCATCGATTCTAGTATCCAGGGCACATTAGAGGCGCTACATATTATGAGCTATCGGAGCGAGTAAAACAGAGTTTGGGTCTAGGAGATCGTGAAGACAAAAACGTAAGTCACTCAAGAGCCTATTCATCTGGAGTTTCAGTCCACATAGAAGAAGATTAGCCGCCGCTGTCAGAGTTAACCCTTTCTCAGAGATCCTCCAGCACAGATCAACTGGACTCGGCCCCTCACTCCAATAATCATAGCGGAGAATTAACACGCCCTACAAGCTCACGCCCAACCACATTCCCTAGTCGTCCAGAAATACCTGGATTACGCCGTAGAGGTGGTCGAGGCAGAAAATCTCTTTTTCAGCGACTCCATGAAGAATCAGATGGCTCTAACACCTCGCCCTCAGACACAAACTCTAGAGATACAAAACAGCCTAGAGAGCCCGGTGAAACCCATCAGGCGGGTGACACGACTCGTAATCCCACAACTCCATCCTCAGACTAAACCATCCCCCAATACAACGCATCCAGCTCCAGTATTCTCCTTGGATTTTGCGATGTAGACAACCAGCAACCTACTCAACAATGCGATTTAGATGATCAAGATGAGTAAACACGTTACTCTTCCAAAAAGAACCTTCTATACACTATGGAATATGGTGGGGATATGTAAGATTATAAGTGAGAAATGACGGAAGTGAAGATAGAGGGGAGGGGGGGGGGTTAATGCTGTTGTGGTGGAGTTTTCAAGAATTATCGTTTGCCTATACATTGGGTCGGAAGTTGAGGGGTGGAAAAGGAGTTTGTTGACCTGAAATCACGTGTAATCTTCTTTCGGCTTAGTTCCATCTATTCCTGTATATATACCTCGTACGAGCTCTGCTCACTTACTCTCCTTTAGACATCTTAATATATTGCTTTCTCCCTCTATTGCTTACTCTACCACTTCCCTTCCCACGAATGTTCATAGAGTTTGAGAGAAAACTGATGTAGAGTAATACACATTATTTGATGACTTTATTAATTTGAAACATTCCTCAGACAACACTGTAGAGTCAACAACTAAGTAGACCACACACAAAATACTGTATTCTATCGATTCGATCCCCTCGACATCACACATCTACTGTCGCTGATATTGCTCATAACCGGCCGACAATCAGCACTAAGATTGCTGCGTCTGTGATATGATTCAGTCACTTCAAAAGCGATGACTCTCGAGTCAGAGCCCTGAAACTAGAAGTGAAAGATATACAATTGTCATTGAACTTGTGATCGCTGAATGGTTCTTAATGGGTATTTGGGTGAACAGCAATCAAGCGTTGAATGAAACCGAACGGACTCACCTCAGTCTATGATGCATTGTTTCTCGAGTAGCTATAACTTAGCACTTTCCCACCTGACCCGTCCAAGAAGACAGCATCCTATTATTATCATGGGACGAGACAGTTCAACAACAGCATTTACACCCCGCATATCAAAATAAGACACAACTCAACCACCACCATGCTCGAGAAGAAAATCCAGAACTTCCACGAACAGCTGATGTGCGAGTACGACAAGCTCGCATCCGCCCAAAGCTCACACCTCGAAGCTCGAAAACAACTTCACAAGCTACGCGAAGATCATCGAGAACTAGTACGCGGCAGAGGCGACATGACCATGGTGATGGAAAGAAGCCTCGTGGAGACGCTCAGAAGAGAGATCCAGAATGTGAGCCACGATACTGCACTTTGCATGGAAGAAGTGGAAGATATCAACAGAGAGACAGCGACGCTAAAGAACACACTTCAAAATTGTGAGGGTGTGAAGAATCCAGTCGTTGAGCAGTTTACTCCACGGAATAAGGCCAGAAGACAAGATCTGAGGGCAAAGTTCGCTGATGAGTCGGAGCTTGTGAGGGTTGCATCGTCGTCTAGATTATCTGATAGAACTTGGCGAGTAGGTTGAACGTTGACTTTATCATCCATCTCCATAGAAATTGAATATATTCAATTTGAAATGTTTATTTCCATGTGCGTTTTCGGGACAGGTGGCTGGAATCAACCACTTCGAGGAATGTGGAATGCTGCACCACGCCACAACCAAGAATGCCATGTTCATTTTCGACACGCGAAAAATTCAGGATTTTGCACGAGGAATCCGATCCCAGCCGCGGCAATGTGCACGATATGGCAGTTATGGAGAGGCCCGGAGTCACTTCGACTTCTTCTCATTCTGTCATCGATGCTTTTCTAGTTCTAAACATATTCTTTTCCTTCAGATAACAGTTTCTTTCTTGCCAGTAGTTTGAGGTCATTCTCATAGAAGTAATTCCAGAGTTCGCATCACAGACGTTGGAGACTGGATAGAGTGGCGAAGAGAGAAATACAATTCAAAAGAACGACACCTATACGAGCATCCGGCAGACTCTATCACAGAGGTTCTAATAACAATGGCGGACGAGAAGTGCTCAGCCGTCGAAATTGTAACGGTACAGGCAGAAGAAGAGCCCTCTCGAACAGTCAGGATTCTTCAGCCAAACATAGTGTGCTTTACGATCACCATTCTTGCAGTATGCTCGATTACTGGTATGTCTGTGGGAGCAACTACTTTCAAGTCACAAAGTGTGCAGTCCACGATGATAGTAGCATCTCAAGCCAGTGTTTTGACCTCCGTAAGATTATCGATAACCAGAACTAGGATGAAGTTAGCTAATATTGCCCTTTGCAGTCGATATGCACAATCGCATATATACTCGTCCACGTTGTTGCAGCGTATCGAAATCAAGCAGTAGGAATCATTCGACCACCAGTCTTGAAGTTACATGGCGCATGCTTCATCATCGCGAGAATAAACTTTGTTCTGTGGATGATCACCCTCGTTTTGACCTGTGTAACCCTATCGCAACGCGCTGGAGACACGAAGGATCGCCAGAATTTGAGAGTAGAATCAGTTGGAGTCGTGATGTCTTGCTTTTCGTTGTAAGTCTAAAATACCTGAGGGCTTCGGTTCGATGGGCTGACGGGTGAAGCGTTGCTATGGGTGTAATTTTGACGTCCCTAGAAGCATGTCAGTATCCATTTCAACCGCCAGCAATTCTAGAAATAGAGAAGGAGATCATTGCCCCAGCTAGCCCATATGGAAATGACGCCATGGATGGTTTCCGAACTCTTGCAATCAATCGCCGAACCCCTATACAGCGTCTTCCTTCCTCCCGTTTGACAAGCCTTAAAACAAAACCACTACCCAGAGCCCCATCATCCATAATACTCGAAGAGTCAGAGCGACCTCTTACGCCACTCCTTCCAATGGCAGAAATTCCCAGGCAGCGGGGGTGGGGCGAGGAATGGAGGCACCTTGCGAGACCGCCTACGAATCGAGGTCTTAAGAAATCAGACTCTGCAATATCTGGGTCATCGCGCTCGTCTTGGGGTATTTCAGTTCAATGACTCAGTGCTCACGAAGTTCGCAAGAGCGCAAAGAATCGAGGACTATAACACCTGGCAGCAGTATTAGTAACATCAAAAGACGCTCACCACTCTCGACAGTCAGGTAATTGGGCTTCTATCGATTTTCTGCATCCGCTAACGTGCTCAGGTCCGCTAATTCTCCTGACGTTTTCGAACAATTGGAACTTAGATACTGCCCATTGGCAATCCCGGCGCCTCACGAATGGAACTTATCTCGCACCGCCTCTTTGCCTGAATTGCTCCCCGTGGCAAGAATTCAAGACCTGCAAAGAAGATCCTCTGTCGAGTCGAAATCATTCCCAGTGTGTCAAGCACCTCTGCCATTATCGGGGCACCAGAGACCTCAAAAAAGATCAAGGTATTTGATGAAACGTCGAGTTCCGAATCCCAGGTCGTCGAATAACTGCCAAATAAGCATTGACCAAGAAAGAGTGGCCGAGGAGTATGTCAAAACTGTTGAGACATTTTCGATATCCAGAAGTCTGAGCGCTTTTGATGCAAGTTCACAAGAACAGAAACCCGACAATGGCAGGGAGAGAAAAACTGTTCCATGTTGGAGTTCCTTTTACCAGAAGCTAGGTCCTCAAGAACGGTACAGAGAGTCGGGTTCTGCTCCTATCGCACGATCTCATAGTGCCACGGGTTCGAGAGAGCTGTGGGCGTTGACTTCCAACCCGCCAGATGCAGAAGAACAGGAGATACCCAAGATTGCTCCATTGAGGCGACTGAGTCTCGGGGACATTTCCTTAAGCCTAGGTAAAATCTTTACGTAGAATAGATGGCGGTATCATTGGGAAATGCCAAATCAGCCATATGATCGCCTTATAAATTTTGTGTATCATTGAAAAGACAAACCAGCTGTGATGAAATACTGGATTTGAGGGTACTCTTCTCCCCATCAGCGGACTCTAGGGTGCCTGGAACCTGGAATTCGACGATGATACGAGTCATACACGTCACTAAGTTTTCGCACCATGAAGCGAGGTGCAACTTGGACCATCTACAAATTGACTGGTGACATTGGAACACTTTCTATCGTCCTCCCGATATCTGTATTATCGGATGCTTGCCCAGGTGTATTTCTACTGCGATATGACGTCGTTCCATCTCGCATGCGGCTCGACTGGTTGAAAATGCCTGCGCTGATATGATTCTACGTTTCTGCGGGGAATATGTCACTATTCGCGGGGTACATGAGGAGTGGCTCTCCGTTCGGGTAAAAAACGTCTCATTTTGGTACACACCCCATTAAACTACTACCACAGTAAATTATAACTTTTTTAGTACACAGAAACTTATATAGATAGTTACTACTAAGACATCTTTTATCTTAGTAACTAATATTTAGTTTTATAGACGTAGTAATTAATTCTTTTGACATAGAAAGGGGAGTAATACTCGTAAGTAAGGCACACGAGCCATGTACCAAAATGAGACGTTTTTTACGCGAACGGAGAGAGTGGTACTTGAGATGCAAGAAATAAATGCCGGCTATGAGGGCATCGTGAAAAATATTGGTACGTAGACGACCCTCCTTTACGGAGATAGCGGGTGGTGATTGGTGAAATTGCTGACTCATGAGCGGCATGACGTTCCGGTTCGAGTGGTCCATTGAAACCTCAACTTTAAGGCGTCAACGTCTCCCGTTCTCACCGAAACCCCTGCTCAATTTACACATGACAACGGCTGGTGATTGCAAACATACACTACCAGCACCTTCACGAATTCCTGCTTGCAAACCAACTTCAAGACATCTTGCAAAAATACAACTCACCTGCCAAATTATCCTTCACACACAAGCTCAGCCACAACAGAACCAGATCAGATCATACCAGTCATCGGAGATCAGCGTGCAACTACGGACGTACCAGCATCTACATCTTTAAAAGCTCGCGAGACCCCTCACAACAGTCCACCCCACCACGTTCGCAACCTGCAAGACCAAAACAAGCTTGATTTTTACACAACTCCCTCAACACAGTTCAAATCACCGCGAATATGGAAGAGGAAGTACCAACCAGGGTCCATTCACCACCAAGCCCCTCTACCAAGAGGCCAAAAGGTAGGTAGCTATCACCCCACCAAGCTCAGAACCCTCCTCCCATGTTATCCGGCTAATGAACTGCTCAGGTATTCTCAAGAATTCTTACCACCGCTCTCCAACTCGTCAAGCTCCAATCTCGACTTCGCCTCCTCCTGCATCACCAGTAGCAGCTGTTCGACCTGACTTCGATCGCGAAATTTCCGAGAAAGATATCACCTTGCAAAACACGCTTCAAAATGCAGGTCATCGTCGTTCGTCATCCGCAGCACGACCATCCGGGTCACGAAGGCAATCTGGTCACTCTTCTAGTGATAATAATGGAGACGATGCAAATATGCGCTTGAAATGGGACGAGGCAAACTTATACCTCACAGAACAAGAGAAGAGCTCTACCATGAAGATCGACGAGCCAAAAACACCTTACGCGAAGCAATATGACCCAACCGAAGATGAGGACGAGATAAGAACGATAGATGCGCAGGATATCATGGTAGATGAGCTAGACAGAAAGCACAGTCCTGGAAAGAGCTCCCGCGCTAAGGAGGACGATATTCCAGGGCTCAGTCTAGGTGAGCCTGAGGAAGCAGTGCCAGAGAATGAAGAAGACGAAGAGACACGCCGCAAGCGCAAAGAAAAGTCGGTTCACGTTGCGGGCGAGGACCATTTGGGAATGAGCGCAGAGGAAGCTGAGAAGCATCGGAAATTTGAGAATATGCGAAAAAAGCATTACGAGATGAAGAATGTTGCGAATCTACTTGGGCACCCAGAAGACCTGGACGCGCTCGATGAAGATGGAGATAACGATATGAATGGAACTGCCAGGTGATCAACAGCGGAAGTCGGGACGGGTATGTACAGCGCATATGTGTTAGGAGTTTAGTTTCCGAATTCTCTTCATGTCAGTGAAAGGTATAGTGCTGAGAACAACAGGCTGGGTATGGCACGAGTGTTTGCGAAGGGTGGCCTTCATCTTGTATTACTTCCTTTCTTCTTCTCAGTGGATGGAATTTCTTCACCAGAGCATTTGAGCACACAGGGTTCACTGGATAGGTGATGATGACTGCATGATACCTATCGCTATTTTAGCTAGATTTTAAATGATTTCATTGATATTCAATCAAGTGTTATCGATGCCATGATTTGAGATACTTCCAGCTACTCTCCCTCGCGGTGGACAAAATAAATGGTATTCGAAACATGATATTTAGTAGCAAATAACTCAGTATCGTATATTTGTCTATTCTCTTGGTGTAGACCGTTTAATAGATCTAAATTAAACCTACCAGTTTTTAAACACAATTTCAAGGAGGTTTTGCCACATGTTTTGTCCTCTGCGAGGGGGATGCTCGCTTATCGGATATTCTCAGTGATAAATCATAATTTCTCTTATCTCAATTCAAACACGCTCAACATTTACACTTGAAAGCAGCTACTAGACATCGACGAACAACATCGTGAAGTTTACATTTCTATCCAAGGTCTGATCAAACAACGCCCCTCAGGGCTTCAAATTCATTTCCCAAACACCTTGCAAACCTCTTGAACCTTTCGATTCCCAAGACTCCAAAACCCAGGGTATATCTACTCCCCGACTTTCAAACGCCTTAAACCCCATCACTCCACACCTAGTCTCTTTCTCCAAACCCCCCCCCCCCCCCCCGCGCCTTTCCTCTAATAA